TTTATTTATTCATGAGAGACACAGAGAGAGGGGTAAAGATATAGTCAGAGGGAGAAGCAGGCTCTTTGAGGGGACCTCGATGTGGGACTCGATTCCAGGATTCTGGGACCACACCCTGAGCCAAAGGCCACTGAGCCACCCAGGCATCCCAGGAATTTCTCTTACAAACACATGGGCATCAAAAGGTTTACTGTGGATCGAAAAGAAGAAAGATAAGAGCCACTTTTCTACATACAATTAGGAAATATTATTAAAAGAACAAAATAACCAGTCTCTACTACTACATATATTTTAAAGCAAGATTTAAAGAATTATATAGTTATTTGGTACAAAAAGTGTGAGTCTCACTTCCCAATGATGTTTTTGTTCAGTGGATACGAGTTGAATACCTGCAGTGTGCCAGGTCTCAATATCAAACATCATTTAATTTAGTGTAATTTCACTGTGATTACTTCACAATTTATGAAAAGAAAAATCTAATTTTAATGCACATTAAAAGTTTATTCAAATTATAAGTAGAATTTCAGTTTCCTATTTTTAAAGCAATAAAAAGAGGGGGAAAAAAAAACATGCTTGGGATGCCTGGGTAGCCTCAGCAGTTGAGCGTCTGCATTTGGCTCAGGGCGTGATTCTGGGATCGAGTCCCACATCGGGCTCATTGTGGGGACCCTGCTTCTCCCTCTACCTGTGTCTCTGCCTCTCTCTGTGTCTCTCATGAATAATTAAATAAAATCTTTAAAAAAAAGTGCTTGACTTTAATCTACATTAAAATATTAATAACCTGCTATATTATTATTTTTATGTATATATTATTAAATAGTAGTATTAGTACCCATGTAATAATATGCAAGCACACAGTCATTATAATATAATTTTCCTCTTCTTTCTCCCTCCCCTAAATTTTATGTAAATTATATGAATCTATACATATGCATATAAAGATGTGATTAATTGATTGTCATCACATTTTTGCAATGTTTCCATTTCATACAGCTTGGAGAGTTACATATTAAAATTTGTACTTCTATTCCATTCTTTTTACTGCATAGTATTCCATAGTATGAATATATCATAATTTATTTAGCCTTTGTCCTATATAATGACCAGTAAGATCTTGTGATAGATTTTCAGGTCATAAGAATTCCATAGTAATTTTACTGACTGGCTTACACTTCGTGCTCTTGCCTCCTTATGTTTACCTTCCATCTACACCATTTGCTGTCTTACTTATACAGCCATCCCAATGTGTAAGAGCCTACCCTTCAACTACACCTCTTAAAGAAATTATGCTGCTTCTTATAAACCAATACTTAAGTATTTTTTGTAGCTTTTACATTTACTTTTATTCTCAGAAAAAAAAATCTGGAAATATTTTAAGTACACATAGAAACAGAATATAACCTGGTTGAGGGAAGATCTCTCTTCCCCATTTCATCATGCAGGGGACCTGGGAATCTGAGTAATTCAAGAAGTGTATATGTGTATGATCCTGTTTAAAGAATGGTGCATGGGGATTGCAATGTCTGAAATGTACACAATAGTTGTTTCTTTGGGTTGAGGGTTATCTTTAAAATATCTGTTAATAAAATACCTGGTAAAAAGGGCACCTGGGTGGCTCAGTCAATTGAGTGTCTGACTCTTGATTTTGGCTCAGATTTTGATCTCCTTGTTTGTGGATCGAGCCCTGCGTGGAGCCTCTCGGCGGGCTCCGTGCTTATCGGGGAGTCTGCTTAAGATTCTCTCCCTCTCCCTCCATCCCTCTTCCTGCTTATGTGCTCTTTCTCCCTCTCTCTCACTCAAATAAATAAATAAATAAATCTTTAAAAACATACCTGTTAAAATACAACATTGAAGGCCAAATATTATGCAGGTTTTAATGGTGACAGAGAAATTGCTAGAAGCTTTAAAACAGAGTGGGAGTGACATGGTGTCCCAGAACCACTGGCAAATCCAAAAAGATGTTAGAAGTCAAGTGTTGAGTTAGAACCCTGAGCTTTTCCATTTACCACTCATCTGCTGCATCTGAGATGGACATGCTCTCTTTATATCTGGGGTGGCTTTAATGGTTTGTCAAAGGCAATATAGCAGAGGTGTGGCCTAGCTCTTCCTAGTCCACCACTATTACAGTTTCCAGGAGTGATCTGGCTGTCTCCCTCTTAACTCCTCACAAATGTACATGCACATATCTGCAACACACACAAACAGCTAAGAAGTGGGTATTGCCCCAAGTCCCCCAAAAGGTGCCTCACTGCCCCTGGTAGGTCCAGACCAATCTTAAGTAAACTCTGTACTCACAGGATACACAGCTTGTTACATGCAGAGTCAGAAAATCTGTCTTGTCTGAAGGATGTAATTTCATGGCAGTCTTCTTAAATTGCTTGCACTATGTGGCATCCTAAGCTATTTCTAAAGGAGAACATAATCACAAGTTTGAGGCTGAGGTTAAAAAAAAAAAAATGTTTTGCCACAGCTGATGGGCTGTATGGCACCTGAAACAAATGATCAGAATTCTCTCAGTTGCAGCATGAATTATGAACCCTGGGAACTCAAACTTTTTAAAATAAGTCAAACTATGGGAAGGGAAATATATCCGCTCTGTATGGAAAACTTGTATTTCATCAGTTGCTGAATAGGTGAAAACTTCCCCCAGAATATTTTCTTGAGCAAAGTCTTTGGCTCCTTCCTGTCTTTCTTTATTAACCCTTTTAAAAAGAAGTTATTTGCCTTTATTTTCTTTTATATTCTTTCATTAGAAACTCAATATTTGGTTTTAGACAGAGCAGAGGAGAAGCAGATGGTCAGGAAGCAAAACGAACCAAATTCCAGTTCGGTTTTGACCTGAGTGGAACCTTGTTTCTCCTATTTGTCTATTAATTTCATGTTCCCACTTCAGAGTTTGATGGTTAATCTAGAAAATGAGAAGGTGTCATTGATCCAATTATCTAACCATCCATCTTACTGTTCTATAAATTTCTATTCGGAATAAGCCATGATCTCATTCCTGTGATGAAGGAGGCAGACATGTTCATAGGTGGAAAATAGGAGAACATGTGCTGTATGTATCAGAGGTATAAAGAGAGGGCTATGTGAGTAAAAACAAAAACAAAACCAACACCCCTCCCTGAAGTCTGGGAACTTTCCCTTTAATTTGTAACAAAACCACCCCAACTATGTAAACCCAAAGGTAGTACTTACTGCCCACTGTCTTCTAACCTTCTCACCTCCAACCCCATCTCCCATCCCTCTGAAGTGACCAGTTGTTTTTTTTTTTTTTGAAGTGACCAGTTGTTAATGGCTAGGATGTTTCTTCCACAAACTTCTCTTATAAAAGTATACAAACATGCAGATTACATTTTTTCCTAAAAAGAATCACTTTATATGCTTTATATCAATCCATCACTACCAGCTTGGCTCCCTCCTTCCCTTGAATCTCTCACCTACTGTCTCTCCCCAACCCCTCCACCCCCATTCTCTCTCTCTCTCTCTTTTTTTTTTTTTTTAAGATTTTATTTATTCATGAGAGACGGAGAGACAGAGAGGGACTTGATTCCGGATCTCCAGGATCAGGCCCTGGGCTGAAGGCAGAGCTAAACCATTGAGCCACCTGGGCTGCCCTGCCCCCATTCTCTTGATTGTTTTATGGCAACATTTTAATTTTTTTAAGTAGTTAAGTCTCTTGTCCAGCAGTAATTTGTATTTATATATAATAAAATGTAGTGATTTAGCTCTGTTCTGCCAAACAGATTTTCAGTTATGTCAATGCCATTCTAAATATGCCCTCTTTCCCCCACTGATTTGAAGTTTAAATATATGACTTTCATTTAAATACATTATATGTAATATATAAAAGTAGACGTCACATATATAGCATATATATGTATATACATATATAAATTTAAATCTATTTCTTGTTCTCTGTTCTTATCCCCCTGACCTACTTTTCTAATTATATATGTAAATGTACATATATATCTTATATTTTATATGTCTCTCCATATAACTTTTATTATGATACTTCTAGATAAGTTTTAAAATCTTATAAAATACATTCTCTTTCAAAAACCTATTTTTCCAAAATATGCTGGGCTCGTCTCAAATATTTATTACTTCATATGATTTCAAATATCATCTATTTCAGCTAAACCTACCAGTATTATGCATAAAATCTGGCTTTTGAAAGAAAACCCATCTGGCTGCACTGTAGGGGATGAGTTGGAGAAGGAAGAGGCGAGTGACAGGGAGATGGGTAGAAGGTGACTCAGTGATCCAGGCAAGCCAAATGAGGGCTTGAACAGGGGGTGGCAGGAGGACAAGCCATTGCCACAGTGGAATCAGCTGGACTTCGACCTTTAGAGATGAAGTACCAACGAAAATGAGTCAAACTATTAGACAGGAGGACTAGACAAACTATAAACCCTTTACCAGAGTTAGGACAAGGGGAGAGAAGTAAGTTTGGAAATGGACGGAAGGGAAGATGTGTCCAGTTGTGGACAGGTTGAGTTTGATGCATGAGAGCTATCGGTAGGTAACAGAAATTGGTGATGACAATATTAATCATTTGGGATATTTAAAAATATCTTAAAGAGGTTTTTTCAAATAAAGTTCTAGAGCCTTTGAGACATACACACTTTCTTATGAGGCCTGTTTTTTTCTGATTCATTCCTACTTTGGCAGTTTGAGGGCAGATTATTGTAAACAGTCACAGAATGAAATATCTCTTCTTAAAGAGTAGAGCTCTGTGCATATGAGGTAAAATTTTAGTTTTTGAAAATGTCCCTCTTCAGTAGAAATATTTTTCTACAAATACTTTGTATATGAATAGCTTTATAATATCTTTACATTATTTTTAAAGTCACTATCCCTTTCTCTCCATCATAGAAATTCTCTTTAGACTACTAGATAGAAGTAATTTTACCTATCAAAATTACACATCAGTTTATCTTAAAGTATTATGTCAATAGGCTTATTCTTATGTTTTTTTCATTCATTTGTCTTTTCAGAACTTGACAGCCCAGAAGAGCTAGGGAAAAAGCGCATCTGCAGGATTATCACAAAGGACTTCCCCCAGTATTTTGCAGTGGTTTCAAGGATTAAGCAAGAAAGCAACCAGATTGGTCCTGAAGGTGGAATTCTGAGCAGCACCACTGTACCCCTCGTCCAGGCTTCTTTCCCAGAGGGTGCTTTAACCAAAAGAATTCGAGTTGGCCTCCAGGTAATGTTTGCAAAATGTTGTTTCTTTGGTACATGTACAGAGTGTGTGAGGATGCTTCACTTAGAAAACAGTCGATGTAATTCATCCTAATGACAGTGCTAATCAAAGCACTAGGCCATTTTAGGGAATCATCAACCTATTTCAAATGAAAAGCATGAAGTATAAAGTGAACTTGGTGGCTTATTAAATAAGATATGTATTTTAGGGTTTTTCTTTTAAAAGTATTTCTTGGTTTCTGATGAAAGATGGTTTTGTTAATCATAGGTTACTGGTCTTGGTATGTGGAATGACAAGAGCAGCAGAGAGCAAATACACCATTAAAGAAACAAACCATATTTGACTTGGTTTATAATGTACCATTTCATAAAAATCCGTAATAGGGAAACATGCAAGCTTTCAGATTTTGATTTAAGTAGATCATAAATACCAGGTTTTATCCAAACCAGTTGGAATTTGTTTTATTTGGAAGGCTAACTGAAAATCTTGGCAAGAGTCATCTTTCTTATATTTATTTGTTTCAGTTAGACCTATTGAAAAAGGAAAATAATAAGGGCAGTAATTTAATTTGTGTCAATTAATATAGTAATTAATAATTTAATGGCAGTTTCATGTTCTTCTCATGAGGTTTTTTTTAGAGTCAACTGCTCTAAGTGCTGGAAAGGCCTTCAGTAACCACTTGAGCTAAGGAGATGGCCTTATATTTCAGCGACATGAAATTCCCTTCAGTTGCCTCCCATATTGAGTATTTTACCAAATAGCAAAGAAGCCAAAAGGAAGACCTTAGGTTTGGTAGTCTAGAATAGAAATCTTGTTACTTAACTCTGAAAATTTTTACCTGGGCACAAATTGCCTATGCAATTTACTGGATGTTCTGCATGGGTTTAAAATATACTAGACATGGGACTTCTGGGTGGCTCAGTCAGTTAAGCATCTGCCTTCAGCTCAGGTCATGATCCCAGGGCACTGGGATCCAGCCCCACGTCCTTGGGCACCCTGCTCAGTAGGGAGCCTGTTTCTCACTCTCCCTCAACAGCTCCCCCTGCTTGAGTGGGCTCTCTCTCAAATACATAAATAATACCTTTAAATATAAATATACTACACTCAATATTTGCTGACCTTTACTTTGGATTAGACTGAAAGTCTTCTCCACTGTGAGATCTGATTCCCTGTCAGAGGCTCACATCGTCCATATTCTGTTGAAGAAATAAACCAACTAGTTTCTGCTACAGTGTTAGGTTGTTTTGTTTCCTTTTTTGCATTTTCCTGAAATAGTGAAAAAGGATTAAGAAGAAAAACTTTGGCAGGGCGGGGGGGGGGGGGGGTGTCTGTTTTTGGTTTTTCCTGCCTCACTTAAAAAGTCATTTCCCAATGAGAGAAAAACGTTAACGTCCATCTAAGGTCCTCTCCCTGTCTTTAGGCTCAGCCTGTTCCAGATGAAATTGTGAAAAAGATCCTTGGAAACAAAGCCACCTTTAGCCCAATCGTCACTGTGGAACCGAGAAGAAGGAAGTTCCATAAACCTATCACAATGAGCATTCCGGTGCCCCCGCCCTCCGGTGAAGGGGGAGTCAACGGGTACCAGGGGGACAGCACGCCCAATCTGCGCCTGCTCTGCAGCATTACAGGTGTGGTTAACTCATTGCTGTACTTGCTATTGGTGCTACTAGCACTTGCAGTGATTCTGTATGAAGATATGAAGCCTTTGAAACAGCCATGCTAACTTCATAAGAGTAGAAATCAAACAAACAAGCATTTTACTTGTCCCTTGTCCATCAGCTCACCTGTATTATCCCTGCACCTTTCTTTAAGATGCTGAGATCATGACTCATTTAAAATTCACTGTTATCATTTTCCCTGCTATTAGTGTGGTATTAATAATAATGCTCTTTTAAGATTATTGAGATAGTATTGAATCTACTAGAGCATCTAGGTAATTTCTCGGGGACCTAGACAGAGATGGTGGACCTAGCAACACCCTTAGACTACAGAAAATTGGACGACTTTGGAGAAAACAGAGCCCCCACAGAGTAGAGGGCTGAGTGGGGACTCAGTTCCTAAGTATAATCCACTAGGTTAAATCTGCAGGGTTAGGAGAATGCATTTTGTGATAAGCACCTGGAATCCAGAGCGCAGTTCATTTGATCAACCGAATAGGATTTTTCACAGAAAGTCCTAGGTTAACATAGGTTATTTGTTTTTATGAGTAGTTTTAATGGAGGATTCCTTTTTTTGCCCTGGAAAATTAAATGACAAAATTAATTAAATTAAATTACAAAATCAGCTGTTTCTTAACTTTCTTGATAGTTCTTGTCCTTTAAAAAAATATGCATAACATAGGAAGTTTATTGTCTCTGAACAACAAATCTCTGCACTTATAAATTGCACTCACAAAATGCACTTCAGAGCCTGTGGTTGCCCCACATTTAAACCATTCATTAGTAGCCAGATAAACAAAAAGTAATTTTTAAAAAAATATAATATTTTACAAGGAGATCTCTGTAAGGCAGTAAAGGCACAGAAGGAGAGGAGAGAGGAGAACCACCTTTAGTGCCTGCCATTAATTGAACATGCTCAAGTTTCTAGTTCCCGGCTGCAAAGGAAGAGCGAGTTGATGATGAAGATTTTACAAGGAGCATCTCTCATGATAATGTCAACGTATCTGCCCTTGTTTTCTCAGGGGGCACCTCGCCTGCTCAGTGGGAAGACATCACTGGAACTACTCCCCTGACATTCATCAAGGATTGTGTCTCTTTTACAACCAATGTTTCAGCCAGGTATGGAAAGAAAGGATTCCAAAAAGCCCTAAGGAATTAGTTTATCTTTTGGAAAGTGAAAGTTTTTGTGCTCAATACTAGTATGATTATTTTTTTTTTTAATTTTTATGGTGCAGTTGGGCTGAACTCAGAAATTTAAAATGGAGTGGCACAAGTCATCCAGTTCTCTTGAGCAAGGGGCTATATGGTGCTAGATCTGCTTCTTCTAGTTCTTAACAACCTATAAATGTTGATTGTTAAGGAGATCTGGCCCCATTTACTAAAGGAGGACAGCCATTTGTCTTCAATTGTTATGCTTTCAAAGAAAAAATACTGATAGAATTCCCATTTCTCTCCTTTTTCTTCCATAAAATGCTTGCTCCTGTCCAATGTAAAGTGAGAGATTAAACTCTTAAGCAGGACTAGAAAGGAAGGCTAATCATGGCTAAGTATAAGGGCAAGGGGACAGAATCTTATGGGAAGGAGAAGAGAGAAAAAAATCCTTAGCATTTCTTCAGCAAAATTATAACAAATAATAAACGTAGGCATTCTGTAAACATCTTTGCTGTTTCTTTAAATGAACGCGGCAATGTTTGGGTGTAGTACCCTTATATGCTCTGATTTTTTAAGATTTGGCTTTTAAATCACCTCACTTTCATAATTCTGTTTTGTTTTTGTTTTTCTCAGATTTTGGCTTGCAGACTGCCATCAAGTTTTAGAAACTGTGGGGTTAGCCACACAACTGTACAGAGAATTAATATGTGTTCCATATATGGCCAAGTTTGTTGTTTTTGCCAAAATGAATGATCCTGTAGAATCCTCCCTGCGCTGTTTCTGCATGACAGATGACAAAGTGGACAAAACTTTAGAACAGCAAGAGAACTTTGAGGAAGTTGCAAGAAGCAAAGATATTGAGGTACCTTGTTAACGACAAGTCCGTCCCATTACATTCCCCAGATATGGGGTTTTATTTTGAGGTGGTAAAAGCACTCACTGGAAGTATCGAGCACATTCTTGATTTCAGCTTTTGATTTAGATTTTTAATATAGATTTATTCTCAAATTATTTTATGTGTCTTCAAGGCTATCTTGATTAAAATATAGTCCTAATGCATCTCCATCATGGTCTGCATTCTCTGTGGTGACTTGAGTTGTCTTATTTTTATGGTCACTCTCTTTAACACATTATCATGATTTTCCTTTTGCAAACCCAGTGAAAGTATCTGAGTTTAAAAAAAAAAAAAAAACCTTTCAAAGTCTGTATGAAGAAGTGATGTCAGCACTTTCTCAAACATGTCTGAAGTTGCTAGAATAGAACTGGATGCATAATTCTGTCTCGTACATGTGCATGATTCGTTTTCCAATCACAGTTGTTGAATTATGAGCCAACAGAATTATTTTTGTGGCAAATAACACCATAGAATTTCCTAATAAGGAGACAAATGTGACATAGAAATATGTCAATCTTTTAATATTATGTGACTTAAAAATCTCAAAATTCTGGGCAACGTGTGGGGACTCCTCTCACTCACTCCTGAGAGCTTTCTCTGTATCTTTACTTAATAAACTTCTATCCCTTTACAAAAAAAAAAAAATCTCAAAATTCTTTCAACCTAAATTAACATTAAATTATGTATTTCTTTTACTCTAAAAGGTTCTGGAAGGAAAACCTATTTATGTTGATTGTTATGGAAATCTGGCCCCACTTACCAAAGGAGGACAGCAACTTGTTTTTAACTTTTATGCTTTCAAAGAAAATAGACTGCCATTTTCCATCAAGGTAAATCATCAACAGAGACTCTGAATTTTTTTTTAAACGCTCTTAGAGAATAAAAGAGAAAGTCTAATGATTTATTGCATTTGAAATATCCCACCAAACTTGAATTCAGAGGAATAAGGTCAGATTTTGTCCTACGTCTCCCCGAGTGTACTTTTGAGCTGGGAAAGCTTTATAATTAGTAAAAAAGAGTCTTTACCTTTGAAACATCTAAATGATCATTTATGTTCAAGCAAAGGTTCATAGGACCAAACAATCTAGAATAATAATAAATGCATCATATCTGATTAATGCTCAGTAATCAAATAATAGATGAAATCCAAAGTCACTATTTAAGTTCCATCTTCATTACTGATGGAGCCCAAGGGCATTCTGGAGAGACCGGCTTCTTCCTCAGAGAACAGAAGAGCATGGGATGGCTGTTTAGTGTTATTATTATTTGCTGTTACTATTATTGCTAAAAGTAAGGCCTTAGGAAAAAGAAATTGTTGGATAGGAAGAAAATGCATATAACCCAGACTTTATAACATATTGCCAGGGTAAATCAAGCAGACGTAGCAGTGTTGGGTCTCATCTAGGAATCAGGCACTCTACATCCTACTGAGTTCATAGGTGTCCACCGTGGTTGATCTATAATAGTTACCGTCATCTCTTCCCTTTACTTTGCCTGCCTCTTGAAGGGCTCCGTAACATAAACATGTTTAACTCTTGTACAGACTGGAATCCTCAGAAAAGTTTCTATAACTGTCAACCACCTAAATTCTTCTAGATTAGAGACACCAGCCAAGAGCCCTGTGGTCGTCTGTCTTTTCTGAAAGAACCAAAGACAACAAAAGGACTGCCTCAAACAGCTGTTTGCAACTTAAATATCACTCTGCCAGCGCATAAAAAGGTATCTTTTAATACTGTTTATTGTAACTTTCTTCCCCTGGTCTTGAAGAAGTGGGCCCTTGGTATGCAATTAAGGAATGCTTTGTAACATGATTAAAGTTCTTGATACTCAAGTTTTATTAGTCTCTTTGTGTAGATTAAGTCTTGTTACTGTGGTGTCACATTCTTATGGTTTGTATGATGGAGTCCTCTGTATATTGCTTCTGCTTCTGCTGGTAGCTCATAGATTTTTATGCTTCCGAATAACGTCACACATTGATTTGCCATGGATGTACAGTTCTTGATATTTTGTGTTGGCTTCTTTTGATTTGCTTTGCTTTCTTGATTCAGCTTGCATTTTGTGCTCCCTACTCAGTCCTTTTCATATCCTGATATTCTTTTCCCTGCTGTCCATTATAATATTCCTTGTCTCTGCAATGCATCTTGGAACCAAAAGGAGACAGAGTCAGATCAAGATGATGAGGTAATATGAACACTTCTGCTTTTACTCTATCAAAGGTAGAACAGAAATTAAATCTGTAGAAAAGAAGTTGCAGAGGGCTAACATGTGGGAAACGTATTATATATTTGCAGATCGTAGCCTAAGTGAGGTAAAGGGTATAAATTTTTCTTAAAGAATGGTTTACTCTTCCTCCATGTATATATAAGAATACTTCAGGGCATTCAGTAATATAATCCAGCTCATGTTTTAAAAAGAGGAACTAATGTTCTTTCGACATTTTAAAGTGCGTAGCTTGGCATGTATAAAAATACATTTGTTCATACTTTCACCTAGTATCCACTCTGTGTGACATTTAAATCAAGATCATGAGTAACATGAAATTTTATTGTATAAATCAGGTTGTTTTATGTCATACAAAATATGTGTTCCATGGCTACTGTTAGCTATTTAGTATTCTATGTAAAGAAAATCATCTTGGCCATTTTTAAGGGTATAGTGGTTCTGTGTGGCTTTGAATGAATTTTTCCTTACAAAGGCATCTCCTAGTATTTCTCCAAGTTATAAGATAATTGGATTTTTAAAACTCACACCTCAGTACGAATAAATAGAATCCTTATTTCTAATAAAACCATTAACCCTTTTTTTAACTACACCTATACTTTATTCCTTTTAACACATAGAAACAACAGCAGTAATTGGAATGATACACCCTGTGCCCTTTCTCCTTGAATGTACTCACATAGAGTGACTGTACATTGTGATATATGTGCTTTCAATACGAATGAATTTGGGGAGATTTATTGCTCAGCATCAGTAGTCTCTGTATCGCTCGTCTTGTATTTGTAGTTCCCTGTAGTCTGCTGTGTTGGTGCTCTTACATTGGCTAAATGATGGTGATTTGGTTGAGACATTGGGATGGGGTTGTAGACTCACAATAGGAAGTTAACATTTTCATGAGGAAAATCCACCAGAAGAAAAATAAATGAAGTATCCACATGCCATCCTACAAAATGTTTCAAAACCATGAAAATATCACAAGAAACTTGTACATAGTCTCTTTTTTCTTTTTCCTTTTCAGGCCGAGAAAGCAGATAGACGACAGAGCTTTGCATCTTTAGCTTTACGTAAGCGCTACAGCTACTTGACTGAGCCTGGAATGAGTGAGTTTTCTAACACATTTACTAATCTATGTGGACTTTTATAAGAAGAGGCATTTTTTCTATACAAACTGAATTTGGGGGTCATTTGAAAACCCAATGGCAAAAGAAAAATTGCCTGCAATGAAATCTAAATGATACTTTGTACATAGTTGACGATATGAAGTACAAACACCCTTAGATCATAACTTCAAAACCGTTTTTTTTTAAATTACCTCTTTTTTAAGTTAGAAACATCTACTCATTACTTGTCTTTAAAAACCCTGTTATCACTGTGACTGTTAACTATGCTAGGAGATAACATACCAATGTTGCTTTAAATCTATGCTCAAAAGAGAAAATATTTATTTTTATATATGTAGGATGGTAGAATGATAAAGTAACTTTGATTGTCATCTCATTTTTTCTTAATATAGGTAGATCATTATATCTTAGTCCTGATTCTCCTTCTTCCCAGTTTGCAAGAATTAGATTTTCCTACCATCTTGAGGTAGCACTTCTATACTGATTCCTTATTTCCTCCTTCCTCTCTCCCCACCCTCACCCCCACCCCCACCCCGGCCCTATATTTAACACCAGTTCCAAGGCTAGTCTTCACTAGACTGGCTAAGTCCTTTCCTTCTCTCAGTGATTGTTTTGGTTCATCGTTAGCTGGCTTGCAAGTATCAAGGTATAAATCCACTCAGTCATGTTCCTTCATCATCCTTTCCCATTCCTTCAGCCCTCCAGAGAATCCCTCCACCAACAGGAGCTAAGAATGCTGAGAGCAGCACTGTGTTTGGCCCATTGGAAGAGGATTTTTTTACAAAAATTATTGTTAAGTTAGCAAACAATTTCTAGCTGTTTTCCTCTACTCAGTTAACTTGCGTTCAGGGAAGATTGGAAATTTACCAGTAAGAGCCCCAACTTTGGCTCTATCAGAAAGAGCCACCTTTCCTGAATTCTTGTTTCTGTGGGCTGAGATAGCATATTAAATGTGCAGCAGGAAGACTCCACTACTTAGCTTAGATGGTCTCAGCATAATCTTCTGGAGTCTAGCTCCTTGACTACTAGGGAAGCTTTTATATTCAGACACAAAATGGAGAGCATGAGGGAAATGAAATGCTACCACACTCATGAATATTCTTCTGGATCTCAGTTTTTTCCTCTAGCATAAATGTCTAAATCCTTCCAAAACCAGAAGGGCTAAGATTAACTCCTATTATGCTACAAAGCAGGGACAGTATATGTATATAACTAGGTAGTTTTTCAAAACAACTAAATTTCCTGGGCAGAAGTTTTCTTTGGAATACTGATTTTGGCCCAGAGCTAAGACTCTCAGGGGGTAGGTCATGGGGACTCCTTTTTTTTTTTTTAAAAAAAAAGATTTTATTTATTCATGAAACACACAGGGAGAGAGAGAGGCAGAAACATAGGCAGAGGGAGAAACAGGCTCCACGCTGGAAGCTTGATGTGGGACTCGATCCCAGGACTCCAGGATCATGCCCTGGGCCAAAGGCAGATGCTCAACTGTGTCCCAAGGTTGGGACTCCTAAATAATATTCTTAAGAGTTAGGCTCCGTGGCCAGCTCTTTTAGGTCCAAGTACCCCTGGCAGGTGAACTCCCATATGATTCTGGTCCCTAAAGTATTTGAGGGTTATATGAGTTTAAGGTGAGGTCTGCGCTAAGTCAAGTAAATTTTTCCCACTTGTGAAAGTATTGTTATTTTTTAGTTAGCTTCTGTTATGGTATAATAGGTGGCTTATCTTCCTTGACTTTTGATAGAAGGAAGAGGGTACTTTTCTCTATTTTATGAAAGGAAGCATAATGGTGGTAAACAGAGGAATGGAAAGGACTAAGATGGGACTGTTAAGAAAACTAAGGAAAGGCCGTGGCACCTGAATTGGTCTTAGAACTCCAAGTAATGCAGCTTTTCCCTCAGTACCCTGTCCTTTCAAATAAGACCTCCTCCCCACCCCCACCCCCAAAATAAAGAAAGAGTCTGGTATAGAGCCTGACATCCAGAACCTCCCAGAAATTTTCTTTGTTATAAAGGGCATCTCAAAGTATGTGTCATTAAAGCACACAATGTGTAACCGATCAGTAAATTGGCTGCTTCATGAGAAGTATAAAACCATACAATGTGGTTCAGAAGAACTTCTTTGCTTGATAGAGCCAGCCTTCAGTGGTGAAGGAGAGATTCTTTGCCAGTTTCTGGTAGTTATAAAAATAAATTCTCTTGAGACATTGGACTGAGCCCAAGTCACTAAATTGAAGGAATCCCCAAACCTTCCATTTGCAGTGTGGTGTTTCCAAGAGTTAAGCAATGTAATATTGAGAATTATGACTAGGAGGGGTAACTAATGGGTGAGTTTTTCCTCAGTTCTTCCATATTTCTTTAGAATAATATGTAAGCTTAGAAGAGGACATGTTCTGAATGTTTGAATTTAAATGTACACTAGGAATGAAAATCTTCACCCTTGTGGGAGTAGCTGCTAATCCAAGGACTGGATTATAGCAATGGCCCGGGCACAGCATGAAGAGGAGCATAAAAGATGAAGCAGATTCTCATTTCCTCTTCGCGTGTCACTATTATTCTGCACCAGTGCTTTCTGGGAGTGAAACTGTACTCAACTTTGACATAGACCATTAGCCCTTGACAGGCATTCCAAATCTCTGTGACCAACTCGGTTTGTTTGGTAGAGCTGGAAAAGTAGAGAGGACCAAGTGTGTCTCCCCTGGCGAGTGTGCTTACCTCATTTGTGTGTTTCTTGTCCGATTGCCAGATAAATGCTGGTATTAAATCCATCTTTCCTAATGGTAGATCTGCCTCATGGCTGCTCCAGTGTTTGGGGTATCTATGAGTCCCATGAACATTCTGAGGAGGCACCAGAATTGGCACCTTTCCCTGGATAAAAACGTATACAGATATATACTGAATCCCACTGTAGATACTTAAATACGGGTGTTAAAAATATGACTGTGCTTTTTTAGATTTCCCCATGATACCTTTTGAGAATTAAAAGTATGATAATTGTGAAAACATATCCAAAATAAACCTTGTGCTTCTATCCATAATGAAGATGACTCCAGATGTGGACATATTGAGTTGCAGAATGTGTTTTTAATATGCAGTATTAAATATTTTCCTAAAATCTCAAAAGGTACCAAGATTTTGCATCTCATGGAAAAAGTGTACTCTTCTTTCTAAATGCTCTTGTGAAAGTATTTTTAAAAGTTTATATATTGTGCATAACACAGCATAAAAATTGTATTACTTCATTGGCTTGTTTGCCATGATATATTGCGCATGATAAGATGTTTTCAGTTGCTTTGCTTGCTTATGGTAACCATGACCCATATTTTCTGCTTTTTTTCCCCCTTTGTGTGTATGTACACATGCATTTTTAAATCATTTCATATTACACTTTCTTTTTCCTCACCAAAAGGAATATGCTGCATGGAAAAAATAAATGCAAACATTCCTTTTCTTTGTTTTTTTCTTTTAAAGTTCTGACTCAGAAAATTTCTTGCTCTTATTGGCTTTTTATGGGTGTGAAGCATAACCGAATTGTGCATGGAAGGTACAGATTTAAAATCCAGTGGCTTCACAGTTTGCACATCAGTTGCCTGTCATATAAAAGTTATCTTGGATTCTGCATGAAAAAGGCTTGAGTAGTTTTCTAAAAAAAGAGTTCTAGATATTTAATGTATAGTGACACACATCGATATGGTTCTAAGTAGGTGCAATCTGTATCACCGAAAGGCTCAAGGATAGGAAACGTTAGAAATTGCTAAAATGAAAGTTATATGGTTGCACAAAATGAACTTGTACCTATACAGGCAAAGCAGAATGGCTGCTGATATTTCAAAACCAGCACATAAGAAAGTCAATAGGAAGTAAGGGAACGGTTTTCCATTGTGGTTATTTTTCTCATCATTAATTCTTTCCTCATGTTTTCTGTTTCTCATTGTTGGCCTATTTGGTTGCGATGTGCTTTTTCTGTCTTTCATTTCACATTGCTCTGTTTTTTGTTTGTTTGTTTATTTTTAACTTTGGATTAGTTATGTCTGTGGATTTTTTTTTCCTCTTTTACTTAATTGTTCCTTTGGCCTCTTCCATTCTAAATCATGCAAACAATTGTACTTGCTTTTGTAATATTTCAAAGTTTACTGACCAATTTTTTTCTCTGGTCTCTCTGTTTCTCAACCATTTTTGTTGATTTTTGTGTTTGATTTCATTTTCAAATTTAAGAAACAGTTGAACGGAGTGCAGGAGCAACAAGATCCCTCCCCACCACTTACTCATACAAGCCATTCTTTTCTACAAGACCATACCAGTCCTGGACAACAGCTCCGATTACAGTGCCTGGGCCAGCCAAGTCAGGCTTCACTTCCTTATCAAGCTCTTCCTCTAATACACCATCAGCTTCTCCGTTAAAGTCCATATGGTCTGTTTCGACTCCTTCTCCAATCAAATCCACGTTAGGCGCGTCAACTACATCTTCAGTTAAATCCATTAGTGATGTGGCATCTCCAATTAGATCCTTTCGGACAATTTCTTCACCGATAAAAACAGTGGTGTCACAATCTCCATACAATATCCAAGTTTCCTCTGGTACCCTGGTTAGAGCTCCCACCGTCCCAGAGGCCTCGCCTTTAAAAGGGCTGGCGTCCAATTCTACATTTTCCTCCCGCACCTCTCCAGTGACTACGGCAGGTTCTCTTTTGGAGAGGTCGTCCATTACTATGACACCCCCTGCCTCCCCCAAGTCAAACATTCATATGTATTCCTCAAGTTTGCCATTTAAGTCGATTATTACATCAGCAGCACCGCTCATATCTTCACCTCTAAAGTCAGTGCTGTCTCCAGCCAAATCAGCAGTTGATGTCATTTCATCGGCGAAAGTCACCATGGCCTCTTCTCTCTCATCACCAGTGAAACAGATACCTGGACACGCAGAGGTAGCATTAGTCAACGGATCAATTTCCCCCCTGAAATATCCGTCATCTTCAACTTTAATTAATGGATGCAAAGCCACTGCCACGTTACAGGAAAAAATTTCTACCGCTACAAACTCTGTGAGCTCTGTGGTTAACGCAGCCACTGACACAGTTGAGAAAGTGCTTTCTACCACGACAGCAATGCCATTTTCCCCACTCAGGTCATATGTTTCTCCAACACCATCAGCTTTTCAGTCCCTAAGAACTCCTCCCGCAAGTGCACTCTATACATCCCTTGGGTCGTCAATATCTGCAACTACCTCATCTGTAACGTCATCGATAATAACAGTGCCAGTATACTCTGTAGTCAATGTTTTGCCCGAACCAGCATTAAAGAAACTTCCAGACTCTAGTTCACTTACAAAATCAGCAGCAGCCTTGCTGTCACCCGTTAAAACATTGACTACGGAGACACGCCCTCAGTCCCATGTCAGTCGAACTTCATCTCCACTTAAGTCGTCTTTGTTCCTTGCACCCTCTGCCCTTAAGCTGTCTACACCATCTTCTTTATCTTCCAGTCAGGAGATATTAAAAGACGTGGCTGAAATGAAGGAGGACCTAATGCGGATGACTGCAATACTACAAACAGACGTGCCTGAGGAGAAGCCATTCCAACCTAACCTCCCAAAAGAGGGGAGGATAGACGATGAAGAACCTTTCAAAATTGTTGAGAAAGTAAAGGAAGACTTAGTGAAAGTGAGTGAAATCCTTAAGAAAGATGTGTGTGTAGATAACAAAGGACCACCCAAATCACCAAAGAGTGACAAAGGACTCTCTCCCGAAGACGACTGGATAGAATTCAGTTCAGAAGAAATAAGAGAAGCCAGACAACAAGCCACAGTGAGCCATTCTCCATCTCTGCCCGAGAGAGTGCAAGTGAAAGCAAAAGCCGCCTCCGAGAAGGATTATAACTTGACCAAAGTCATTGATTACTTAACAAACGATATTGGAAGTAGTTCACTGACAAATCTAAAGTATAAGTTTGAGGACGCAAAGAAAGATGGTGAAGAGAGACAGAAAAGGATTTTAAAGCCCGCGATCGCCTTGCAGGAACACAAACTCAAAATGCCTCCAGCCTCCATGAGGCCTTCGACCTCTGAGAAAGAGTTGTGTAAGATGGCTGATTCCTTTTTTGGAACAGACACAATTTTAGAGTCTCCGGATGACTTTTCTCAACATGACCAAGACAAAAGCCCCTTGTCTGACAGTGGCTTTGAAACGAGAAGCGAGAAGACACCTTCAGCCCCACAGAGCGCTGAAAGCACTGGTCCTAAGCCACTCTTTCATGAAGTCCCCATCCCTCCCGTCATCACAGAAACGAGAACTGAAGTGGTGCATGTTATCAGGAGCTATGAGCCCTCAGCTGGAGACGCTCCCCCGGGCCAACCGGAGGAGCCTGTGTCACCCAAACCTTCACCTACTTTTACAGAATTGGAACCCAAGCCCACTGCCTCTAGTATTAAGGATAAAGTTAAAGCATTTCAAATGAAAGCCAATGGTGAAGACGACGACCACAGCCGAGTCTTGAGCAAAGGCATGCGTGTTAAAGAAGAGACGCACATCACCACAACCACCAGAATGGTCTATCATTCTCCACCGGGCAGCGAAGGCGCCTCTGAGAGAATCGAGGAAACCATGTCAGTCCATGACATCATGAAGGCCTTTCAGTCCGGGCGGGACCCTTCCAAAGAACTGGCGGGGCTGTTTGAGCATAAGTCGGCAGTGCCTCCAGACGTTCACAAGTCTGCTGCTGAAACTGCAGCCCAACATGCAGAGAAGGACAACCAAATGAAACCCAAACTGGAGCGTGTAATAGAAGTCCACATCGAAAAAGGTAACCAAGCTGAGCCCACTGAAGTCATTATTAGAGAAACCAAAAAGCATCCAGAAAAGGAAATGTATGTATATCAGAAAGACTTATCCCGGGGAGATATTAACCTAAAAGATTTTCTGCCAGAAAAACACGATGCTTTTCCTTGTCCAGAGGAACAGGGTCAGCAAGAAGAAGAGGAACTTACTGCTGAAGAGTCACTGCCTTCTTATCTGGAGTCTTCCAGAGTAAACACTCCTGTGTCCCAAGAAGAAGACAGTCGCCCTAGTTCTGCTCAACTCATATCTGATGACTCTTATAAAACGTTGAAGCTTTTAAGTCAGCACTCAATAGAATACCATGACGATGAGTTGTCAGAACTAAGAGGGGAGTCTTACAGGTTTGCTGAGAAAATGCTTCTGTCAGAAAAGCTAGATGTGTCTCACTCTGATACCGAGGAATCAGTTACAGACCATGCAGGAACCCCTAGCTCAGAGTTACAGGGGTCTGATAAGCGGCCCAGAGAAAAAGTAGTCACTGCCCCCAAAAAAGAAATTCTCTCCAAAATCTATAAAGATGTGTCTGAAAATGGTGTAGGTAAAGTGTCTAAAGATGAGCATTTTGATAAAGTGACAGTGTTGCACTATTCTGGCGATGTTAGTAGTCCAAAGCATGCCATGTGGATGCGCTTTGCTGAGGACAGATTAGACAGAGGTAGAGAGAAGTTGATATATGAAGATAGGGTGGACAGGACTGTGAAGGAAGCTGAAGAAAAACTGACTCAAGTGTCACAGTTTTTTCGTGACAAAACCGAAAAGCTAAATGACGAACTGCAGTCCCCAGAGAAAAAGCCACGCCCTCGAAATGGCAAAGAATACTCTTCTCAGAGCTCTACCACTAGCAGCCCCGAGAAGGTCCTGCTGACAGAACTGTTGGCATCCAATGATGAGTGGGTTAAGGCGAGGCAACACGGCCATGACGGACAAGGCTTCCCCAAAGCCGATGAGAAAGCATCCAGTCTGCCCAGCAGCCCGGAGAAGAAGGTGCTCTCCCCTCAGCCCGAGGACAGCAAGTCCCCAGAGGAAGCCAGAGAAAGCATCTCGCAGAGCAAGGCACCAGAAGGGCCCCAGTCCGGGTTTCAGCTCAAACAATCTAAGCTCAGTTCCATTAGATTGAAATTTGAACAAGGCGCACAGGCAAAAAGTAAGGACGTGTCTCAAGAAGACAGAAAGCTGGAGGGCCAGTCAAGAATCCCAATTAAAAAAATCCAGGAGAGCAAGCTGCCTGTGTACCAGGTTTTTGCTAGAGAAAAGCAGCAGAAGGCCGTAGACCTCTCAGACGAAAGCGCGTCTGTGCGAAACGATGTGATGGTGCTAAAGGCTAAGGACGAGCCTGCGCAGAGCAACGAGATTCTTGTAAATGATTCTGGTCCTGAGGATGTGAAAGCACAGAGGACTGAAATGTCAAGTAAAGCAGTGCCTGACTATTTTTCTGAGCAACAGGCTAAAGACTTGGCGTGTCATGTAACCTCAGAGTTAGCTACTAAGGGACCATGGGACAAAAAGGTCTTTAGAACGTGGGAAAGTGCTGGAGCCACTAACAATAAGTCGCAGAAAGAAAAACTTTCGCATGTACTTGTTCATGATGTAAGAGAGAATCACATTGGTCACCCTGAGAGTAAGATTGTTGATCAAAGGAATGAGTTTATGTCTGTGACTGAGAGAGAACACAAGTTGTTAACGAATGGCTCTCTCTCAGAGATTAAGGAAATGACTGTAAAATCTCCCTCCAAAAAGGTCTTATATAGGGAATATGTCGTGAAAGAAGGGGAACGGCCGGGTGGATCTCTTGAACAACCTCCCAGGAGAAGCGAGGGCTCTGCGGTGTCGCACATCCCGGTCAGAGCTGCGGACGGAAGGAGAGTGCTGCCTTCTGACGTCCCCGACGGCTTCTGCGAACAGTCGACCTTCCCCCCGCATGAACTATCACAAAAGTTACCCCAGTCGAGTATGAGTAAAGAGACGGTCGAGACGCAGCACTTTAATTCTATAGAAGATGAAAAAGTTACTTATTCAGAAATCAGCAAAGTTTCCAAACGTCAGAGTTACGTAGGCTTATGCCCTCCTCTCGATGAAACCGAAACCTCTCCCACCAAATCTCCTGATTCCTTAGAGTTTAGCCCAGGAAAGGAATCCCCCTCTAGTGATGTGTTCGAGCACAGTCCCCTTGATGGCTTGGAAAGAGTTGCTCCACTAGCCCAGACAGAGGGAGGGAAAGACATAAAAACCTTACCCGTGTATGTCAGCTTTGTACAGGTGGGGAAGCAATATGAAAAGGAGATACAACAAGGAAGTGTAAAAAAGATCATAAGTCAGGAGTGTAAGACAGTACAAGAGACCAGGGGCACCTTTTATACAACTAGACAGCAAAAGCAGCCTCCTTCTCCCCAAGGTAGCCCAGAAGATGACACTCTAGAGCAAGTTTCCTTTCTAGACAGCTCTGGGAAAAGCCCCTTGACCCCAGAAACACCCAGTTCAGAGGAAGTGAGTTATGAATTTACGTCTAAGACGCCAGACTCGCTCATAGCTTTTATACCAGGCAAACCCAGCCCAATTCCCGAGGTTTCTGAGGAATCTGAGGAGGAGGACCAGGCCAAGTCAGCCTCCTTGAAGCAGACTACCGTGGAGGAAGCAGCCGTTGAGCGGGAAACGCCTACCGATGTGAGCAAAGACTCTAGCCAAAGACCCAAAAGTAATAGAGTTGCCTACATCGAATTTCCCCCTCCTCCACCACTGGATGCAGACCAGATGGAGCCAGATAAGAAACATCATTATCTCCCTGAAAGAGAGGTTGACATGATTGAAGTCAGTCTGCAAGACGAGCATGACAAGTACCAGCTGGCCGAACCGGTCATCAGAGTGCAGCCGCCTTCCCCAGTTCCTCCCGGGGCCGACGTCAGTGATTCGAGTGATGATGAATCGATCTATCAGCCTGTCCCAGTTAAAAAATATACCTTCAAGTTAAAGGAAGTAGATGATGAGCAAAAGGAAATGACAAAATCCAAAGCTCCTGCTGACAAGCCTTCCAACCAGAAAGACTTGGACAGTAACGAATCTGGAAAAGATAATGAATTTGGCCTTGGCCTCGATTCACCTCAGAACGAAACTGCCCAGAATGGGAACAATGACCAGTCCATCACTGAGTGCTCCATCGCCACCACGGCCGAGTTTTCTCATGACACGGATGCCACAGAGATCGACTCTCTGGATGGCTACGACCTGCAGGATGAGGATGATGGCTTGACAGAGAGTGATTCTAAACTCCCAAGTCAAACCATGGAGATTAAGAAAGATGTCTGGAACACGGAGGGCATCCTGAAGCCTGCTGATCGCTCCTTTAGCCAAAGTAAACTTGAAGTTATCGAGGAGGAGGGAAGGATGGGACCAGACGAAGACAAGCCACCTTCTAAAATTTCCTCATCTGAAAAGACTCCTGATAAGACTGATCAGAAATCGGGGGCCCAGTTTTTCACACTAGAAGGCAGACATCCTGACAGATCAGTGTTTCCAGATACATACTTCAGTTACAAAGTAGATGAAGAATTTGCCACTCCTTTCAAAACCGTAGCTACCAAAGGTCTAGATTTCGATCCTTGGTCTAATAACCGAGGGGATGATGAAGTTTTTGATGGTAAATCACGGGAAGATGAAACTAAGCCATTTGGTCTGGCTGTGGAAGACCGCTCTCCAGCAACAACCCCTGATACAACGCCAGCCAGAACGCCAACTGATGAAAGTACCCCAACTAGTGAGCCTAACCCCTTCCCATTTCATGAAGGGAAAATGTTTGAGATGACTCGCAGTGGTGCAATTGACATGAGCAAGAGGGATTTTGTTGAAGAGAGGCTCCAATTTTTCCAGATTGGTGAGCATACTTCTGAAGGGAAGTCAGGGGACCAGGGGGAAGGGGATAAAAGTATGGTCACTGCCACACCACAGCCACAGTCAGGGGACACCACTGTAGAAACTAATCTAGAGAGAAATGTAGAGGCACCTCCAGTCGAACCTAACCCCAGCATCCCGACCAGCGGAGAGTGTCAGGAAGGCACATCCAGTAGTGGCTCCCTGGAGAAATCGGCAGCAGCCACTAGCGCCTCTAAAGTTGACCCCAAGTTGCGCACGCCTATAAAAATGGGAATTTCTGCATCCACCATGACCATGAAGAAAGAAGGCTCTGGAGAAGTGACAGATAAGATAGAAGCTGTGATGACCAGTTGTCAGGGGCTAGAGAATGAAACCATAACAATGATTTCAAATACAGCCAATAGCCACACAGGCACTAGGCCCCAAGAAAAACATGATTTCCAGAAAGATAACTTTAATAACAACAACAATTTGGATTCTTCCACCATACAGACAGATAACATTACAAGTAATGTAGTTGTGACAGAACATTCTGCACCCACTTGTACCACAGAGAAAGCTAATCCAGTGAAAATCTCGTCAGGAAAAAAGACAGGGGTACTGCAAGGACACTGTGTAAGAGATAAGCAGAAAGTTCTTGGAGAACAGCAAAAGACCAAGGAATCGATAGGGATTAGGCGAAAATCCAAACTTCCCATAAAGGCCACCTCACCAAAAGATATCTACCCACCAAGTCATATGCCAAACACGAAAGTGAGTAAAACGAAGCAGGTCAGTCAATCTGAGAAAACCAAAACCCTTGTTGCTTCTTCATGTGTAGACGTAAAGTCCAGAATTCCAGTAAAAGACACACACAGGGATAACGTAGTTAGAAAGGCATGTGCCACACAAAAGCCAGGGCAACCAGAGAAAGGCAAGGCCAAACAGCTTCCATCCAAATTGCCAGTAAAGGTAAGATCCACCTGTGTCACCACCACCACCACCACCACCACCGCCACCACCACTACCACCACCACCACCGCCACAGTAACAGTTAGGAAGAGTCAGCTTAAGGAAGTATGTAAACATTCCATTGAATATTTTAAGGGAATTAGTGGTGAGACCCTAAAGCTTGTGGACCGCCTCTCGGAAGAAGACAGAAAAATGCAGTCCGAGTTGTCCGATGAGGAAGACAGTACCTCAAGAAACACGTCGTTGTCCGAGACTTCCCGGGGTGGCCAGCCTTCAGTTACAACGAAGTCTGCTAGAGATAAGAAAACAGAGGCAGCACCTTTAAAATCAAAGAGTGAAAAGGCCGGCAGTGAGAGAAGGAGCAGTAGGAGGACTGGTGAGGATGAAGGCAGTCAGGTCTCTCGAGCACTCTTTGCTCACATCCTGGAGAACGAGCGTAGTTCGTAAACACCTTCCGGCGCGTAGACCGTAGTGCATGAACTGTCGTGATTGCCTGTCGAGTGACCTAACCGTAGTTTCTCATTCTGTCATTGTCATCCGTGTGTGCTGTCTCTACACTCTTCTTTCTCCCTTTTAACCAAACGACACGGTAGACAGCTAGGGAAGCATGCCGAAGATGTTGGTGTCTTTCAAGATGAGCAGCTCGTGGTTTTATTTTTATTTTTTTAATGTACTAATGATTCTGTCAAAGTAGAAGCACAGATGTTGGAATCCCATCCTGGTGTTTTCACCGACACAATGATTCTGTAACCGTTGTCCAGTAGCTAGCTCGTCAGCATGTTTGATTCCATCACATCGAGCATCCATGTAGTCTCACATTTGGCTGGCGCAGGTGACAATCAAGTGAGCCGTGTGAAAAGAGAAGTGTTCATGTAGGTGACTAGGACACATTTAAGTGTACAGTGTTAGCATTAGTCTCTCTGTAAAATCTGAGTACTGCTAAAAAAAAAAAAACAATTTTCCAGTATCGTGTCTTTCTTGATGATTATTTTAATTAAGAAATTGTAAATCGTAGGTCCACAGAGTCCATGTGAACGGACAGATATCAGGATGGCAATAGTAGCCGATCACCTGGGACTTAGTTGGACAGGTAAGTGTATACACTCCGGAGTGAAACAAATACAATTTCTTAATTTCTTTCTCTTACTCACAAGGGGTTCATTATATTTAAAAAAAAAAAAAAAAAAAAAAAAAAACAGAAACAAGCAACAAGTGGAAAACAAAACAAAACACTTTTTATCACCCCCACAGTTCTATCTACCCAGAGATAATTATCGATAATACCTTTCTCACATACTGCCTTTTTCAAAGCTTTTTCAGTGCATATACATTAAACAAGAGAAATTTAAATCTTAAATATAGACACTTTCTTCACACTGCCATTTCTGGTAATATTAGATAACATTTTACCTAGTAACAAACTTATTTATCTGGGGTAAAGGAAAACATAGTTAAGGCTTATGACTTTTAAATAATCCAAAATTTTATCAATTTTAAACATGGTGTATGCCCTTGAGGCAGCTCTCCTAGGCATCAGTTCAATTAACCCATGCCTCTGTTCCACAACTTTTAATCATTCATAAGTCATCTTCATAGTTTTTATGATACACACAGATGACCTGTACATTTATTTACCTGGTACTTTTCTTTAAGTGGACTCACTTCTATGTCCAGAGATTTATTGAAAAAGAGATCTTATATCACTTTGCTAAAGGAAAACAAGGATCATTTTCAATAACTACATAAACAAGAAAATGAGAAGTTGAACATTTGAATTACAATTTTTTAAGTAGGATGCACATATATAAATCTATTCAGTTTATAAAAGTCATTGAGTTCAGTGAGAGGAATGAAACCGTTTATGATCTGTGTGTAGAAAAGGAATATTTATTTAGTTTGATTTCACCTCAGTACAGATGAAGATAAGATTCTGTATCCGTTGGAAAGTTCTACTTGTAGATCTGATGTTAACTGGGCCTGCAATATCCTACCCCACATGAATTAGAGAAATTTAAGTTTTATAGTTTGAGTGCATATTTTTAACTCACAACCAAAAAAAACCACAATAGCTTAAAATATAAATGTTAATCATTATCATATCTAAGTCATCTTGCATACCCTCAGCAATATTCTATACTCAGGGAAGTGATTATCTCTGCTATTAAAAGGAAGAATATGAAACCAGATAATGGCAAACAAGGTCAGCTACATTTTCTTCCTTTAAAAATCCTATGTCCTTGCCCTCACCCCCAAATTATTAAACTTTCCTACCTCCTTCCACCAAGCCCCTGCTCTCAGGCACACTGCTAATGACCAGGAGCTGGTGGCACCCTGAAAAGACAGGTGGTTTGAGTAATCCTTAGCAGCTTGTTGAGAGTTAATAACAATTTGTTATGTATAAATATCTGTTAACATAAAATTAATAATAATTATATGTTTTTTTGGATGTTGTGATCTGAAAATATACCGGAGCATATGTTGATTTGAGGTATTGTATGCCCATACTGTTAGATTATTTGCCTTAGACAAATCCAGTCCTTAGTCTGTCAGAGTAAATTTGGGGGGGGAAGATGTGACATAAAGCCATAAAACTGTAATTCTTAGTGACAGTGTGTCTTTACTCTTCACTGGATCACTAGACAAAGGATACAGTTGGATCATAAGGGCTTGTCGGATAGTAAGGAGTGTTGTTTCTTAAAGCCCAGAGGAATGAGGAACCTAAAAGAAATTTAACTCTTGTAATTTGAATTACTATATGCTCAGTGAAGATCTACTAAAATGATCATTTAGTAGGGCAAATTTTAATTCTGTCCCTAAGAACCACTGTTAACATCTTAATGTATTTTGATTTTTGTATAAAAAGCTTTAACATTATATACATAATGTAATTTTTTGCTTTATTTGTTATAACCTAGTTTCCACAAAATTGCATATTCTGTGATCTTGGTTTTAATGGAAAAAAACATCCAGCACGCATACTATATAATGGTATTTTTCTAACTTTGGGTTATAATGTACTTGTGAGTCATGAAGTCAATATATACTTTGGTTTTGTTTTTAATAGAATAGTATGGGGGAAATGTCTGCGTAATATGAGTATTAATGCTGAGTTTTGCTTCTTGGAGATCTGGTTTCATTTATATAAACATCGCGCTATACAACGTATATCTAACTGTAGGCCATGATCAAAACAGTTCACAAGCCACTGCATTAACTCAGTTAACTCTTCTTTTGTTCAGCGCTTGGATTGTTTTCAGTTTTTTAGTAGTACAGCCTGAGATAAACATTCATGTGTGTAAATCATTGTGCCCAACCCAATGTATCATCATGATAGATTTCTAGACATGAAATCTCTTGATCAAGGCATCTGAAGTTTTTTGAGCCTCCGAAAGCATTTCACTAAATCCTAGAAATATTTAAGCGTGGTAGAATCTTGACCAACTCCTTTTCCATGGGAGAATTTTTTCCCTTTTATTCCTGTAATCGCTTAAAGTAATACATACCTGAGGAAGTTTTTCAACTACACAAGAAATAGACAGTGAAAAGTCAGGCTCCTTCTCATCTTTGACTCCTGGGTTCCCTCTGCCAAGGCAGCCACTAATGCTCATACGTATCTCCCCAAAGACACTCTGATGAACAAGGTCGAGTATTTGGGTACAGACATTTACATGGACACAAGGGACACACATCTCCCTTTTACTTGTTGTGCAAGTAGCAGCATAGCATAGACAGCGACCTGGGCTGTGTTCATCATTTAACCTCCCAAGTGGAATTCCTGAAGTCATACTACCAGCATCTCATGTGCCATATTTTTGAGTGTGTATCCCTGCCCATCTTATATGAGGTCTGTGCAAACTGCAAAGAATGATTTGGCTGAATTAAAAGAATCCAGCAACATCCTCTTTGTACAGATCAAGAATCTTTATAGAAGAATCTCTCAAGAGGGAATCTAATTGTAACCAAGCGATTATCTCTGGAGAGTTAAGTTACAGTCTGCGTGTGATCACCACCTCCCTGTAAAATCAAGCATATAAAGATTAGTGCTCAAGGCTGGACTGGGTTTTACTATAACATTCCTTTGAATGTATGTGTGTGACAGTTGAGCACTACTTTTATGAAATATATGTGATAAAAGTAGAATGTGAAATCTTAGTAACTCTTTTTCTTTCCTACAGAACTGGCAAGGGAACTGAATTTTTCAGTGGATGAAATCAATCAAATACGTGTGGAAAATCCAAATTCTTTAATTTCTCAAAGCTTCATGTTATTAAAAAAATGGGTTACCAGAGACGGAAAAAATGCTACAAGTATGCTGACATTATATTACTTTAACTTTCAAAACTGCATAGATTCAGTATTTTAGATAAGCCTACTGTTATCTGTTGATAAACCAGAGTTTCATTAAAGTAATAGCAAGGCTTTTGAAGTTACCCTTGTTTAATTTAGCGCTAATATTCTAAACATCTGTCTCTAGGAAGATTCTTAAGAAAGCAAGTAGTAGTGAATTTTTTGTGTTTTGTCTTTGGTTCCCTCCGTGACCATCTAAAATGAAAATCTAATTCTGGGGGGTGGTAGTCAGAAACACTCTGAGGCTACCTCTGTGGCCAGAGCTAGGTGCACAGGGAAAGAAAGGATAGTATGAAATCATTTTATTCCACTTCATCTGTGCTGCAGAGAATCCTCTAATATTTTTAGGATTTGTTTTGTTTAGCTCTGTTGGGCTAAGGGAGGGGTGTGGTGCTATACTATGACAAGTGCCAACCCACGACAATGCGGAGCGAGTTATTGCGGGTTTGCCTGGGTCAGCCTGACCTTAGTGAGTCATTAAAATGCTAAGCATCAGATATGAGGGTGATCGATTTTGACAGTCTAAAAGGAGAGGAACATGTTTAATATGTTAATAGATCCCCTTGTGACTAAAAGGAGTCTAGCTATTTTGAGGCCCATCTGCTCAGCATCTTACAGTGGAATCAGTGTTGCTGTCATCACACACAGCCTCAGAAAGTGATACTTAAGACCCTAACATGACTTCCCTGTAACAGCGAGCTTTCTGAAACCCCTGGATGGTGTCTTGGCTGAGCCGCAGGCAGGAGGAGCTAAAAGTGCTAGGAGGGTGAAGAAAGCCATGCTTTTGTGTGAATATTGTGATGACTGGAAGAAAATAATTTAATCGGGTTTTTCAACCCTCTTTTCTCCTTTTTCAGCTGATGCCTTAACTTCGGTCTTGACAAAAATTAATCGAATAGATATAGTGACTCTGCTAGAAGGACCAATATTTGATTATGGAAATATTTCAGGCACCAGAAGTTTTGCAGATGAGAACAATGTTTTCCATGACCCTGTTGATGGTAATTGAATTTAGTGTTCATATTTATTTAATCATTTGATAAAATTTGAAAGTGTGTAGGACGAGGCAGTCATTTAAAACCAACTAAATTGTGATTTGCTTGACTTAATTTCTCATTTTCACAGCATTTTCTCTACTAGAGTCTGCAAATAAACACTCTGATAGAACAAATTTGATAAATGTCTGTTATATAAAATACAAATAATGAGCTATAAAAGCATAAGTTAACTGAAAGAGTTGGTATTTCAAATATTTGACATGACCAAGTGGAAGAAAATTTATTATCTAGAGAATGCATTGTTTTTGTCATTTTCACATTAACCTAAACAACTAGTGAACTCTTTTTCGTTGATATATTCATAAGACCAAATCATAAGCTATTTTTTTACCAGATAATCAAGGTACTGGGTCAAGTTGTCAAATAAAATGGTGAATTCCTGTTTGGGGGCCAAGTATTTAAGCGCATACTAAGAAAAATCTAATGCATCATTCAAAAACGTGTTATACTTATTTAGCATTATTTTAACTTCATATGCTTACATTTATTGTTTGGAAAAACCCTGCCTGATATATCATATATAAAAGTCAGTGTCATTTCTAATTCAGTGAGCATAGGTGTGACTAATAACCTAGTAATTCCTTTTTTGCATTAGTTTAATTTATATAGTGATATTATAATCTTCCCTTCATTGTGTAAATTGGGGCTTTTTAAAAATCAAAGCATTAAGTAAAGTATAACAAATATCTTACTATGTTTTTCAAGGTGCTTGTCTTTTTTTACAAATGGAAATTTATTCCTGTAAAGAATTTCGAGTAAAAAATAATGATGGTATGGAGGTAGAAAGAAGAGCTAGGGATATTTTTCTAGTATCCTAAGTTTTGAAAAATGTGCTTTTTTCTCATTTTTAAACTGGCAAAGATGGGCTAACGGAAATCAATAACTTCTAGTTCTACATATGTTATGTAGCAAAGTTGTCAAATTCTTAAAAGAGTATCTGCTTACTAAAGTTAACAGAAAATTTAAAACTTAGCTTATTATCCACATAACATAAATACGATGGAAAATAATGTTCAAAAGGGTTTCCTTTTAAGCTTATAAATACCACAGAACCTTGGGAAAAAGCTGTCTTCAAGGCTTCCTCTTATATGTGAGACCATATGATGGTAGCCAGTCTCTTTTTGCACTAAAGGTAGACCACTGTTATATTAAATTCTGAATTATTGTCAAGTTATAGTTTATGGAATCTTTTTGGGGAAAAATTAAGAAAATATCTAACAAGCAAAAGAAGGAAGGAAGGAAAGATGGAAGGAAGGAAGGAGTGAGCAAGATAACCAGAAAATAATGGAAATAGTCAATAGAATTGAAAGCTTGATTTATTTTTCACATTTTAAAATCAGAATATCATTAAATAAATTCACAAGAACTTTTCGTGGCTACATCTTAATACTTTACATTTCTTATCTTAAAAATTCATAGAGAAATTTAGGAATGTGTATATGAAGTAAATTTCACTTGTGCACATTATAAACCTCAGCTATTCTCAGTCAACCTTTCAACAAGATTCTGGTTTATAGGTGACTCTACTTACCTATAGCAATTTTAATTTACAACAAAAGCTAAGTTGGTTTTTGTCATGGATTGATGGGAAAATTAGACCAGTAATTCAGAAAATGTGCTTGGCTGCCTTTTTTTCCTGTCTCTCCTCTTCGTTGAACTTTTATGCAACCTCCTTTCCTCACCATGACCAGACCATTGTTGACTTCTCTCTCTGCTGAAGGAGAAAAATGTTCCCTTGGTCCACACAGCAAGAAGGTTAAACCCAGGGCATTGTTCCCTCCTTCCCCTCTGAGTAGGCTGGTAAATAAACCTCCGTGTTTCACAGCATTGTCGTGAATATTCAGAGAGCTCTTTGCAAATGGCTTTCTTCCTGTCTCTGTTGTGTATCATTCCTTCTTTCTCCTTATTTGATTTGTGGTTCTGAGTGGACCCCTATCACCAGGTTCACTAAGACCTCCATATACACCACAACCCTCTCATCGCTGTCACGTTATGACACCTGAAAACTTTCCTTGGAGTCTTTTCTACTTTACCTGCTTTTCAGATCCTATCTTTAACATCTTTTTTAGATTTCTTTCCCCCAGTGCTACTGCTCTAAAATTTAATAATAATTTCCTTCCAAAGATTAAATTTATTTTTCTTCACTGTAAATTTCATGTGAGAAAAAGTAACAATTAGAATTGGAAAGCTCTTCAAATAAGTTATAAGTGACTTAATTATAAAAATTGGTTTCTTGTGGCTTGCTGTATGCAGTCCACCACAATACAGATTTTGCATGCTAAAAGTAGAAAGATAATAAATTTGGCTGTGGAATAAGTGTATCTTGTATAACGACAGCTAACGTTGTATTGGATTGAATTCGTCTGTATAGTTAAGTTACTGTATTAAAATTATCAAAATTGATAGAAATCATTTATATCTTAATTAGTATTCTATTTTATTATAGTTTACACTAGTCTTTTATTTCATTGTATTACATTTAATTGAACTAAACCAATAAATATATGAACATTATTCTGTAACTCATCATACATTTTCATACCTGCTATAATTTAATTCATTCCATGTGGTTTATTTTTTTTTATGTACTCTAATTCATTCCAGTCAGTCCGAATGTACTGTCTTCCATAGGTTATCCTTCCCTTCAAGTGGAACTGGAAACTCCCACAGGGTTGCACTACACACCACCCACCCCTTGCCAGCAAGATGATTATTTTAGCGATATCTCTAGCATAGAGTCTCCCCTTAGAACCCCCAGTAGACTGAGTGATGGGCTAGTGCCTTCCCAGGGGAACGTAGAGCATTCAGCAGATGGACCTCCAGTTGTAACTGCAGAAGACACTTCCTTAGAAGACAGCAAACTCGAAGACTCAATGCCTTTAACAGAAATGCCTGACGCAGTGGATGTAGATGAGAGCCAGTTGGAGAATGTGTGTCTGAGTGAGTATCCTCAATACCTTGGAAGTATGGCTGGGGTCCCAAAGGATGTTAAACCAGCAGAGCCATTGAAACAGACTAGGAAAGTAGGAGTAAGCTCTGAGCAGCAAGAGAAAGGAAAATCTGGTCCTGATGAGGAGATGACGGAAGAAAAACTCAAATCTCTATTTGAGGACATTCAGCTTGAAGAAGGAGTAGAGTCTGAGGAGATGACAGAAGAAAAAGTACAGGCTATTCTTAAACGTGTTCAGCAAGCAGAACTGGAAATGTCTTCACTTTCAGGTTGGCAGAACGAGACATCAAGTGGAAACCTAGAGTCCCCTGCTCAGGCTCGAAGAATAACTGGTGGGTTACTAGAACGGCTGGATGACAGGTATGGTTCCGTTTCAGAAAAAAAAAAAAAAAAAGTGAAACACAGGTTACATGTTTGCTTCAAATACCTGCTTTTTAGCAATTACTCTTTTTCTAAATCACCATTCCAGCTTGGGGATAATACCTGCCTTAAAGGTTGGTAATTGCCTGCCAATCTGGAGGAGAGAAGGTTACATGAAACTCAAATCCAATTCTTAAAACTACTGACAGCGGGCTAGGGGGTGGGGGCAGAGGCAGGGGCACCTGGGCGGTTCAGTCAGTTAAGTTCAGCTCAAGTCTTGACATCATGACTGTGAGTTCAAGCCCTGTGTTGGGCTCCACATTGGGTGTGAGGCCTACTTCAAAACAAAGCAAAACAAAACAACTGCTGATGGCCTGAAGTAAAATGCAAACAGTTTTACGTGCAGGCCAGAGACGTATATGTTTACTTTGGAAGGCTGCTCTTTCTAGCTTATTACTTGTATTATTCTTTTCACAAAGCCAGTAAGTAATGTGCTTTCAACATAATGTAATACATAAAACTCCACGTCTTTTAGAAATATGAGCATTTCTATTATTTTCTGACTTCAAGCATAATATGCTTATTATGCAAAAACTTTAAAACACAGATTTAAAAAGTCAAAACCCCATCATCTGGCAATAACCACCACTAAAATTTCGGTGGATTTCTTTTACATGTTGTTTTTCTAAATGTCTTTATGTAGAAAATGCGGGGAAGCAGAGTCATCAGACCTCCTTCCATACTAAGAAAACACTTAACATTGTATATTCTTTCTTCCTACATGAACACTTTATGTAATGTGCAACATTGCATAATGTAATTCCTCACCACAAATAATATTGCCACGATGGAAATTTGATGAAAACCAAAATAATTCTATAATCATGAATCTGGTTCTTTTTTACGCTGGACTTACTCTAGGAAAGTGAGAACCTAGCATCCTTCAGACATTAGTTCAAATCCCACCAGTATTAGCTTTGCGCTCTGTGACTTTGGATGAATTTCTAAGCTCTAAAACTGTCACTCTAATCAGCTTTAAAAATCAGAGTACTACTACTTTCCTCAAACAGGTTTACAGATTGAAAAAGAAAGCCTATACAATGACTACCAAATGACTGGTACAAATAGTCTCTCAGTAATAGCTGGCATTATTTTTATTTATGCATATATCAAACTGAAATATATTTTATTTCTGTGGCAACTGGTGATAACCTCAGGTTTTTTTGCATCCAACTTAAGTTTTTTCCATAACCATATTTAATATTTTCATATTGTAGATTAGCTGCTTGCTCAATAAAAAATCCCAAAGAGGGAATTTATAACATTTTGCAAAAAGGACTCTACAAAATTCCTTTTGAAGAATGATAAGACCAAAGAATTCTGTGTTCAGCCTGTCAAACAGGCTGTTGCAAAAACAACAAATATTGTCTATTTTGTTCTGTTGTCTATTGTACTAATTTTGATGTTTGGGTTCTAATACAGTCACATAGTCTATAGTTGCATAGTGGGAAATAGATACATTTAGGTCATGGCATCATCACATTGTGCCATTTGTTCCGACACATATGGAATAGGGTGTGCTGTTGATGGGGACTTTTTATGTACAATCAGAATTTGATGTATAAGAATAAACACATACTCACAGACATACATACATGATATATATATGTATACATATAAACACATATGTCATATAGAACCTTGTGCCAGTTATTGCCTTCAGAATTCTACAGGTAATAAGCAAAGACACTAAAAACAATGCACAAGCTAGAAAATAAAAGTCTATACTGATACCAGTAAAAATCAGAAATCAATTTAAAAGAAAGTGTTGGAAGAGAGAGATTGTTAACAGTTACTTGAAAATGGTCCTCCCAGGACATAGACGCAACGGGTGAGCACTAACACCCACTCACCAGCAGAAGTCAGCAGGGGTCAGCAGTGGGGAAAGATGAAACTTTAGGGTGTTTCAGTTGCAAAATCAGGATGGCAGGATTCACAACTGGAAACCCATCCAAAGAGTGGAATGTGGGGTTTTGGGGGATGCCAGAGCTCTCATCACAGGAATGCATTTTATTCTCTGCCAGCAGTTTTTTCACTGGCAATGTTAAAGCCTTTTGCAACATCCCCCTCTTTTTTTTAGATTAGTGGGTCTAGAACTCCGCGTATGTCCATGAACCTCTCAGGATGACTTTTTAAAATCTCGAATCCAGGTTGCTATAGCAGTGCAATTAAACAAAATTAAACAAAATTAAATAAAATATACAAAACAAAATTAGAAACAGGGACAGCATAGCTAGGCAGGTTGGGAATTGGAATGTGAGGGAAGCCTGAAGCCTTGGGTAGCACCTCCTCACCCCCAAACCCAAACCAATGATAGCCCCTCACACATCATATTTTTCATACCTTTCTATTTCATGCCTTCAAAATTGATTCAAAACATGGTTGCTAAAAATTTAGAGCTTCTGAAGCCCATTTTTAGCCATATATTACCATTGTAAATTTCCACATTTTATCTTTTGCAGCCCTGATCAGTGTCGAGATTCTATTACCTCATATCTTAAAGGAGAACCTGGAAAATTTGAAGCAAATGGAAGCCATCCAGAAGTCACTCCAGAAACAAAGACAAAATCCTACTTTCCAGAATCCCAAAATGATGTAGGGAAACAGAGTGCTAAGGAAACTCTGAAACCAAAAATACATGCATCTGGTCGTGTGGAAGAACCAGCATCATCATTAGCAGTCTATCAGAAAGCTCTAGAAGAAACCAGCAAGTTCGTAATAGAAGAGCCTAAACCCTGTGTGCCTGTCAGTATGAAAAAGATGAATAGGACTCCTCCTGCAGATGGCAAACCAAGGCTTAACCTTCATGAAGAAGAGGGGTCCAGTGGGTCTGAGCAAAAGGTATGCAGTCCAGTTACCTGATACACTTGTCATTTCAACCAAGAGTACTGATGCTTCACTTCCTTTGATTAATCTTGTTAACACTGGGCCCAAGGCTCTTTACCGTTTCCAGATTATCAGTGCCAACACTAATGGTGAGGGTGAAGAAAGGATTAGGTAAAACACATGCTATTTGATCATATTTTCATTCAGAGTAGGAAAAAGGAATAAGCATCTCTTCAGCCATTTTTCAAGGGAAAAAAAGGAACCAAAGAGGTGTTCTTGTCCAGATGCTTACGGTCCAGTGTTAATTTTGTCTAGGATTTGGGTTTCCTAACCCTCAACCCAGTCTTCCTTCTTATGGAAATAGGATAATTATTCTGACCTTTTCTAGGTCTTCTGCGTAATTTAAAGCGTTTATAGCATGTGATCCATCTAAGATTTCTGCCCTATAAGATCTGTTGCCTGAAAGTGTGTTTTAAAACTTAAAGAAACCCAATGCCCAAGCCTGAAATGAGGTGGGTATGTTATTACTGTTGGTTGACAACATTTAGAAATTTGAAGTGAGGGGTATCATTTTAATAATTTTTATATCTAAGTTAATAATTATCTGAATATTTGCTTTTAATCATTTTAAAACTTTACTGTCATAGAATTATTTGCTTGGACTTTGTACTTAAAACATGTTTTTGTGGTACCATCTAATAGACTTTTTCCCCTTCTTTGAGGTTTACTGCTTTTAGCTATTAAAAAATTTGGAACTGAAATTACAACTCATAATTAGATATAAGAAAATAGAAGTTCCATTTCCTGCAGCTTTTTACTGCTTTTTGCTCTCTCAGTTATGTATTTTCTTGGACCATGCAGTAGCCATAGATTCTGAGATGTGGACATTTTTGGAATAGTAGCACTTACAGTTTTCCCTAAAACATCCCGTGTGCTTCAGATCTACTGCAATGCTTGGGAGAGAAAAAATACAAGTCTTTTGAAAAATAGTGAGTCCATGATTAAGTTGTGGTTTACAAAAACTTTAATAGTAAACTCTCAGTCACTCAAGACCTAATGATCAGCTTATCAACTCATCATATCCTTTCCTTTTCCCTTCTACAGGCTATCTTTTGACCATTTTCCTGCGTGTTAGGAGGGAAAGTGAGAGGAAGTAAAATTTTCAGGCCTTCCTTTCACTCCCCAACAAATGGGTTTTGAATACTGATTTCTTCTGGTTAATTCCTAGTATATTTAAGCAGTATGACCTTTGATGTTCCCTTTTAAAATGAGTCCACAAAATACTGAAGGAAGCAGTAACATAGTGATGGCTTAACTATGAAAGTTTATTCTGTAAAAACCTTATAAAAATCCGTAGAGAAGTTCTGAAATTAAATGACCATCTGAATATAAATAGGCACTTGTTTGTGTGTGTATATAGGTGCAGACACATTGGCCACTGGGGAACCAGGGAGAAGGCAAAAGAAGGTTTGAAATGAAAGTTTTAACCCTGAATGGAGACTCAGCTGAGTTCATCAGTACTAGGACATAATTACTATTAGAAAATGTTTTCAAATGCCTTACGAGATTATGCTTTTGGTATTGGTTACTGGTCCTCCTCTACTGCCTAAAGTTTTCATGAGCATCAAAGTTCTTAATGGAGTTAAAGTTCCTGAGAGCTATGAACCTGACCTCTCAGGAAATCCAAAAATCTTTAGGATGTGTCCTTTGTGGCGAGACCATAGGACAGGAGTAGCAACCAACCAGGTCATCTGATGTATGAGCTCAAAAAACAGCCCCCTTTTTGTTCCCTAAAAAATCAGGTCAAAAGTCCGGGTGCGGCTCTTACAAGGATGACTGCCTGCTGTTACAAGGTAAACTTCTGCTATCTTCCACCTCTTTCCTTGCAGTGACCCATGGCAAGAAGCACTGAAAAAAAAAAAAATCCCTTTTGGTGTCCTCGTTACCCTCTTTGCCAATTCTAGAAAATTCTCTAACAGGAATCCTGATCGAGATTCTACTACCACCTTCTCTCTACCCTTCACCTTCGGATTAGCAGAGACTTGAGGCAGAAAGTGGCAACTAAACCATTGGCCAAATGCCCACTTCTTCTTTATGTAAGGGACTAATCTCAGATGATTCTTGATAGGATTATAATTAACTTCTTGGTCTGATAGTGTTTGCATTAACATATGTTACCCAAGTGAAAACCTTTCCCCAGTTTATGAATCTGTGTATGAATAATTCAGATTGAATTTTCTCTTTTGCCTCATCTATTGATCCCTGAATGCTGATTGGCATTTCTTTTTTTTTCACAGTATGAATTCCTCTTACTTTTTCTGACTTTTTGAGCTACTTCAGTGCCTCCTTTCACAATACTGGCATCATTGTATGTTTTCTGAATTACAGCCTTTTCTAAAGCATTTTAAAATTAATAGGGAACTTAGCAGCCAATATCTTTGCAAGGAACAAGACACTTGAAAACTCTTTCCTTTTGACACCATATTCAGCAGGGCACTTTGTTCAGACAAAACTTCTTACACAGTTAAGGTAGATATTACTATAATATTTAAATGTATTTGTTCAGTGTACTTTGGGTGAAAAGTGTCCTACATTATTATCTATTTGACAAACATTTCAAAAATCACTTTAGCTACCACTTGTACCTCCTGTAACAATTTTACCTCCCCTCCTATTTTTACCAACACTTCCACTTATTTTGCCAATGAATAGTAACTGTAGGTTCTAGAATATATCAGATTTGGGGCAACTAGCAAATTTAGAAAATAAAATACCAGAATAATTTTCAGAATTTCTCCATTAAAATTGAGAGATAAAATCATTTAGTAAGTAGTCTTCATCATGGCACTTAAGTAAAACTGGAGATATTGAACTATGTGGTAGTTTCTCCTTTTCTCATCCTTATTGCCTAAAAATTAATATTTTGTGTGATTCCTGTATTCTTGTCTATACCATATTCTTGTCTGTCAGATGTTTTTTCTGTCCTAATTTCATATCAGTTCTTTAAAATAAGACTAAGCTTTCACATGTTTTACATTATTCCTTCATTCATTTGCATAAACTCTTACTGAGCACCAATTGTGTGTTAGGTGCCAATTATGCTGCTAAAAATCTCCTGATGTAAATATATGCAGCAAACTCCACTGAGGTAAATTTTTTACTTTTTTCTAAAGTTCAAAGTAGGTTTGGTAAAGTTGTCAAATTTGACCAAAAGTTTCCTAAAAATCAGAAATACTATGCCTCTTTCTGTAGATCAAGTGAGGCATAGCCTAAACTCTAAGGTTATGCATTCAGGTCACATGGATGGAGATTAAAAACAAGTTTTAAATGAATATCTTCATTTAAAGTGTTTCTTCAAACAATTAGTAGCGAGTAGTTTCAGATACCAAAATGTCTCTTATAATAACTTTGATTTATTATTTTATTACATTGATCTTTACCACATATATGCATATAAAGATCAATGTAATTAAGTACATACATGTATTAATACACACATATACATACATATACAGACTAATTTCATTTAGAATCCTGCTCAGAATTTCCTTCCACTTCAATTTTTTTTTTTTTTTTTTTTTTTAAGATTCTCACAAATACATATCATGACTTTCCTTAGCAGGGAAAACCAGCAAGTGAAAGTAATTCTTTTTTGATTTCCCTTCTCAGAATGTCTTTTATTTTAAATGTGATGGTAAAATTATACTAAAAAATGCATTTATCAGGACTTGAAAGACAGTGAGAGTGATTCAAGCTCAGAGGAAGAACGGAGAGTCACTACCCGAGTAATTCGCCGGCGTTTGATTATAAAGGTATCCTGTCGCTGGATCGCGATGGGGCATTGCTGTGTCAGAAAGTCCTTCCCTGTGGTCTTGAAAATTCAGCATGCTTGACAACTAGGCGGCTCTATGTATTTTTTTTTTTTTAGTACATTTTAAAGCTTGTAAGAGCAACCACAAGAGGAGAAGGTCATGTTGCATGTAGTGAGTAGTCTGTCAAGGCCTGTGTTTGACATGTGGCAGCTATAATTTTGTCTGAGAATTCTTGGCATTTGTATCCTGCTTTCTCTGAAGAAGTATCCTGTGTGAACTAAGATTTTTATCTTGGTGAGAGAATAGTTCCTATCAAATGAAATGTTCAGTTGAAACCTCAGAGGCCACCGTGAGGTATAAGGTCAAATGGAGAAGGACAATGAAATAATGAAAAGCCTTACTCCTCCGTCTCAAATACTTACTGCCTGAACAGATCTTGAGTAAAAGCCAGTTCTTTATTACCAATCAGTGACTGAGAATTTGGAGTTATAGCCTGGCATGGATGTATGTGACATAAACAAAATCAGGCAAAATCCTCTGAAAAAGGCTTTTTACTTGACTAGCATACAGAAAATTAGGCTTTTTAAGTATAGGAAGCAGTTTTTACTGGAAGTGAAAAATACTATTTGCCCCTGTTGCAGCACAGTTGAACACTATGAATAAACCTTCATTTCCCCCACAAAGGCCTTTTGAAGCACTGACTTTATGTCTGGTGAGGTCCAGCAGAACGCTTCCCACAGTCTGCTGCTTGTCTTCATTGCTCTACTCTGTCTTTAGAGAGAGATTTCTTGATGTTACAATAATTGACTGCAGAAACTAGGAAGCCATTTTCAACACACGGTCCTTTGAATGTGATCCAAATAACTTGAGGCTCCTTGGTTGACAGCTCTGGAGAGAAAGAAAGGAAGGGAAATATCTACTGAAAACCATTTATCAAATTTATCATCCCTTTCCAATGTGTCAGGAGACCCACTGGAGAGTAGAGAAGTTGGCTTAGGTCTCTAAAACTTTTTAATCTTGCTGCTTGTACTTTTCACATAGATCAGATGAAAGAAGAGGAGAAAATCTGCCAAATCTGCTCTAGTATAGGTTCTCCAAGACTCTGGAAGCATTAGAGAAGAAAGCCAGTCCTTGTCTAAATCTTAAACTATCCGCAAATCAATCTTTTTTTTTTTAAGATTTTATTTATTTATTCATAGACACAGAGAGACAGAGAGGCAGAGACACAGGCAGAGGGAGAAGCAGGCTCCACGCAGAGGGCCCGACGTGGGACTCGATCCAGAGTCTCCAGGATCACGCCCTGGGCTGCAGGCGGCGCTAAACCGCTGCGCCACCGGGGCTGCCCCCCAAATCAATCTTGAACTCAATAGACAGCTATCAAAAAAAAAAAAAAAAAAAAGAATCACTTCTTTGACAATTCCATATAGGCAAGCCAGATTACTTACTGGTATCCCGCATATTTGCAAGTATTCCTTCTGCTTATAAAATCCTCATAATCAGTCACTTCCCACACATTCCCTGGGATTAGGGGAAGGAAATACTTAATACAGGTTTTCTGAAGGAGTTAAAGATACACTCTTTGCTCAGGCAGGCTTTGCCCTTTCCAGAATCAATGTCTTCACAAAATGATATTTTAAAGTGAAACATCCAGAAAAAGCACACCAGACATATTGTCTTGTAACTTGCTTTTTATGCTTAACATACGACATACTGATATTGCATCCAAATCCACCTCACTCCTTATAAAAGCTGCTCATTATATAAGTTGACTCTCCTCTATATAGGGCAGAAGAAAATAAACAATCCTGCCAAAAATTGAGAGAAGTCGATAAAGAAGTTTTACTCTGAAGAATAAAAACACAAAACCCATCAAATCAATGAGGGTTATTTCTCTTGGTTTTCTAGAATTCTAGACATGCATTATTAGCAAGTTAGCTTTTAAGTAATTTTGTCAGAATGTGTTATTTATATATTTGAACTTAATATATAATTATGTGTAATATATAAAAAATTTTTAATGATTTTATTTATTCATTCATGAGATACAGAGAGAGAGAGAGAGAGAGAGAGAGAGAGGCAGAGACACAGGCAGAGGGAGAAGCAGGCTCCACGCAGGAAGCCTGACACGGGACTCGATCCCGTGTCTCCAGGATCACGCCCTGGGCTGAAGGTGGCGCTAAACCGCTGAGCCATCCAGGCTGCCCCCAGAGCATGGCTTTTATAAGTAGAGAGAGCATTGTATAAACAATAGAATCACTCAAACAAACTTGGAGAAACCGAAAGCTAGAAAAAGTAGCTATAATTATAATTGAAAGCTATAAGTATAATAAAAATAATTATAAGTTACATATATATGAATCTTTCTGGTTACTCTCTTTCTGTTCAGAAAGGATCCTGACCTCTAGCTGTCCAGTGCACTGCCTTCTACCTGCTTTTCCCTCAATGCTAAGTTCTTTCTCTCCTAGAACAAATTATAAAGGAATAACTTTGCCTAGACCAAATTAGGCACTTGGCCATTTCAACTTTTCCAGTGGCAGGGAGCAGAGCAGCCATGAGCTGTCTCTCCTGGAAATTATCTGCTGGGACTGGAATGCTGAGAATTTGGCCTTCCTCATGGAAGCTGTCCAGCCTTGGGTGGACCAGATATTTACACTGTTTGCTATACTAATCCCTCTAGAGCTTAGGATCTCAGAGCTGAAAGCTATTTTGGGGTGGTTCTGTCCCTTGCAGAGCGAGCTTGGTTGCACAGTGTCCGTGCCGGCAAGAGGTATACTCAGGGCTTCTCAACTGCAAGTCTAGGCTAATCTGTCTTATTCGCCATTCAGTGTTGTACAACTGATGGAGTGAAAGTATTTTATGATTTTCCTCATCAATTTCCTATGCAAGTTTATCCATTGTTTATGAAGTTAATTTTATTATTTTTGTTTTTTTTACATTTACTATTTTCCAGTCCCTAAAGAATGAGTCAAGTGAACAAACTCTTCTACTTGTGTGGGGATTTTTAGATCCATTTAGATAATACACATCCATTTATTTCTATATAATTTGATAATATTACAGTGGTTTCAGTGCTTAGAAGCAGCTTAAGTAAATTAACCAGTCCTACGAGCTTGTTTAGAGTATTTGTTTAGCAAAGTCAGTGATTAAAAGGTAAAAACTTAAACTCACACCACAAGCTATTATAAAGTTTGGTAAGGTACAAGTAACTGAATTTTTATTTATAATTCAACTGTATTTTTATTTCTACTTTTGAACTTTTTTACTGACTTAGGAATTATGAGTTTACATATGTTTTCCCCCAAATCAAGCAATGAAAAGTATATAAAGTTTGATCTACTCATTCCATTTCCCTGAGGTAACCACTGCTCATGAGTTTCAAATTAATTATGTACATAATATTTTTATGTAAATATATTGAAATGTATATAAAATGTACATATACATTATGTATACATATATACACATTCCCAATATATAAAATGTACATGTATGTTAAGTACATGCTTACACACATTCCCAGCAAATAGGTTTCTCAGAATATAAAAATGGGTTATGCTATCACATACTGCTTAGTAACTTGCTAAGTTATATATGTCCCAAATGTGACATCCATTCCATTTGGGGAGAAAGTTTAAGTCAAAGCAAATTGGTACATCATACTGTTATTCCTTCCTTTTATTCAAGGACAGAGGAATAAAAATTATGAAACGCAATGCTTACAGCAGAGGTTCAAAGGGGAAAAAACAGCCTCTGTGCATTAAGGTGGCCACCAGGGATGATACTGCGCCACCATATGTGCTGTAATTTTCCTTTGAAATAAGAAAGAAAAAAGTAGGGGGGAAGTGTTGCCAAAAATAATGCCATCAACAAGACAAGACCTGGGGGAAAGTTTTGCTTAGTTGGAAGTACAAACTGTTTTATAGAACTTTAGGAACTAATTAGAGATTATTCTCTGTCATTAAAGGAAGGCTCTAAAAAGACCTCTCCTTGGTAATACTTGGTCTCTTAATATATTTGACAGAATTAGAGATGGATGATTTTTTTAAAAACATGTTTCCTGACTCCTTACTGTCTTTCTTCTCTACAACTCCTAAATAATCCACTCCCCCAGTTGAGTGAGTTTCCACATCACCACACAACTTACTTTGGCCTTATTAAAGCACAAATGGATTATACTTAATGGGCACTTAAGATTAAGAGAGGTATCCTTAGCTATACATAAACAGTATGAATTTTCAGTAGGAAACATGAAAATGCCCATATGCCAGGGTAGATCTCAACAACTTATATCTTGTTATTTATAGATAGAGCTTTGCTTTTTTCCTAAGGCTGTCAATATAAATCAGTATTCTTCTAACTATTCATTATGTTTATAAATATACCTCATTTTACATTCCTCTCAGCGACTGTCCAGTTAACAGGCATCGCTCCCACAAGAGTCCATTCATGACTTATCCAATAGGATTCTACTTTACTGGATTTTCCTGGAATCCTCAAATTATCTAACATGCAAAGAGCTGGACATTTCCCAGTGTTAGCTCAAAAATATTTCATGACCTCTTACTGGCTTCTCTGATATCTTTATGTCTTTCCTTTTTTTTTTTTTTTTTAACGTGGGCTCCACAATCAATCCACATTGAGCTCAACATAGGGCTTGAACTCATGACCATGAGATTAAGAGCTGAGATCAAGACTTGGATGCTTAACTGACTGGGCCAGCAGGCACCCCTGAGCCTTTACTTTTAAAATGAAATGAAACTTATGTTCTTTTTTTCCCAACCACAGGAAATATAAATAACATTCCTCTAAAAACGTGTTGCAAATTTTAGTGCATTTAAGCATGAGACTGCGATATTTTTCCAATCCCCTTCTTTAACTATGGCAATTGATCATAAGCAAGTTCCACAGGGAGCTAAACATGAGCAGCAAGAAACATCTTATCTTTCGATACCACGATGAGGAAAATGAGTCCATATCTTACCCAGTCATAACCTATGAGCCCACAATCTATAAAAATACAAAGTCACTTTGTAAAAAGAAAAGAATGAAAACAATTTTGTTAGCAAAACAAGATAATGTTTAGTCTTTATCATTTTACACCAGCACTGCCTTTCTTCTAGCTGTGACATAAAGCAATCCTAGAACTTTCTTACCATGAGCTGGCACTGACAAAATTATCAGAACTACTACCTTTTTCAGACCAACAACACTGAAGGAGTTAGAATCCTGCCTCTCCCAGAAATGTCGGTGTTGTCTTTGTGATCTGCCATTTTTCCTAAAACAAGCACAGGTGAATAACAACTGCAGTCCACTGTTCCATAGCAATATCCAGGCCACCTTCCCAATAAGAAGTCTGGCTAGGGGGTCATGAAGTCTCTACGGTAGGTCCGCACTTAAGATGTCCATCACTGTTCCCCCAAACTGTGCGTGGCACTAAATGAAAGTGGAATATCAGAGAAGAAGGGACTATATTGCAAAAACAATCCTACTTTTGCCTAGTCCTAGTTTTGCCTTCTGAGTGGTTTTTCTTAGACAATCATGGAGCCAATAGGCAGATATTAAGGAGCCATCCAAATCCACCAAGCTGGAAAATAAGAGCCCACCAAGGGGAGTTAAGGCTTTATTCCATTTTTTAAAACTCACCAGAGGAAGATCTTTAACAGCTTCCTCTTTCTAAATCAGTTAACAGTCACTAAGGAAAAGATAGCATCACTTTAAATTCCTTTAATACTGATCTTTCCTTTGTCTGTAGCCATGGAGATTAGATGATCTATCATCACGTAAGACCCCTTCACTGGAAGATAGTAGCCAGAAAGTATGTGCTTCATTAGAATCATTTCATTTTAAGATCTATGAAAAGCTCAGTTTTAAGGAAAAATAAGTAAGATTTTCTGTATACCATGAACTTTGCTTATAAAAAATGTCTATGTTATCCTTTGTAATTGAATTTTTAAATGAAAAAAACTGACAAGGGCAATAAATATAATGCCCTGACTAAGGTACCATCTTAATTTAGATTAAGTACAAGGCAACCCAAAAATTATTTGAGAGATTTCGTAGGACTAATCAAGAAACACTGCTCAAAATGAGGCGATCTAATCAGAGCTCTAATCATTGGCTTTTTTTTTTTCAATGAATGAAATTTTTTGGTTTATATATCAATGTGTAACTGTGTTATATCATTCTTCCTTCTTGGAGTTAGCTGCTAACCATCATTCTTGTACATACCTAAGGTTTAGTGCTTTGAATGTTGTTGGCTGCTAAGTAACCATCAGAGGAGTCCGCCTTTTCCCCTTGCCCTGGAATAGCAAGTAGAATTTATACTTTCTTTTTCTAAAAATCCACAGAGCATGTGTGTGGTGTATGGAGTGGTGTGGCAATCTGTCCATCTAATGTGTTGCTAATCTCTATGCCACATCCTTTAGGGAGAGGAAGCAAAAAGCATTCCTGGTGAATCTGTCACAGAAGAGCAATTTACTGATGAAGAAGGCAACCTCATCACCAGAAAAGTAATCATAATTGGGATTTTATGCTTCCCTTGGAATTCAGATTTTCTATGGTTTGCTGTAGTGTCACCTTTTAAAATAGAAAACAGGAAAATCTCTACTTTTCACTATTGCTTCCTACAGATCACTCGGAAAGTAATAAGACGCATTGCTATCCCACAAGAAAGAAAACATGATGACATGGTAATGGAGAGGGACTGCCAAAGAAAAAGTAGAGGATAAATGCTTGTGAACTTTCTAGAACATGCTGCTAACAGGCTGGCATCTGCAGTGTGGCAGCTTGAAGCGTGTGCTGCTTTTGACACCCTGTGCCTTTGATCAGGGTCAAAGAAAAAGACTTTTCCTCTTAACACTCTGTAACATTATATATATTTTTTTCTACTATCTTCAGAGTTTTCACAGAGATAAGTTCATTTATGGAGGGAAGAATGTGCGGTTCGAGCATGTAGGAAAAATAAAATAAAAACCCTCTATCACCACTGGCCTCCTTAGCAGTGCCCACCCCCACCACCACCTCTGCCTCTGCCTATGTTTTCCCTACAGCTTGGTACCTGCCTGGGACCAGGATGAAAGGCACCTACTTCCAGCAAATGTACAGGGTTTAAATGTTAGAAGGGCAAAAAGCTCAGTTCCAGATCCAACATTAACTCCCTTTTCAGTATGTTCTACTGGGAAATCTGAATCCCCTCATCTAACCTGAGGAGGATTCTCCTCTTTGGGTTTATAAGAGCCCGTTTCCAACATGCCAGTTAAGGAGCTCAACTCAGCACTGCACAGTGTAAACTCAGCACATGAGTCTCCATCTCCCAGACAAAACACCTCTGGTTGTCATTTCTTTCCTTTTCTCAGAACTTTACCCCTTTCATTTTGAAAATAGAAACTCCAATAGCCTGTGTTTACATAAGAAAAAGTGAAAAAAAAATTCTCAAGACTAACTCAGAAAATTGGAAAGGCTACTGCGTTTCTGTTATAAAGCGGGTAAAAGTGGCGGATTTGTGCAGCTTTGCTCTCAGAGAAAACTTGCCCTGGTGCTCAGTGCAGAGAGGTCTCGTTTTATGGAAAATGGATGCCAGCTTGATCTGGCGTAAGAGGAGGGCTTGGTAAATACACAAATTAAAAAAAAAAAAAAAGCGTCCCTCAGATCAACAACATTTCCATGGTGTTCTGTTCACGATCAGTGCTTTCCTAAGAAATTTTAGTCTCGACACAACAGACAGCCTCAAATCCTGTTGGCTTAAGAAGAATTTACTAACATTTTTTAGAATTGGGGCTTGGGTGCCTTGAGGGCTTTGGTGATGATTTCTTTTTAGCTGACAACAGGAAATGAACAGGCTACTCTTTCTCTTTTTATTGACCACTAAGCTTTTTAAAATGTTTATTTATTACTATTTATTTATTATTTTTGTTATCACTAACCTTTTATTTCTCACTAACCTACTGAGGTCTTGTGAAGCATAGTTCTGTTACTGTATTCATTCTGACAGCTCTCTCCAGCTTGCCTCCGTGACGCTAGACTGTGTGGTTCAGCCAAATAGATTGTGTGTATTTTTGGACGTGAAGTGACAAAGTGCTTTCAACTGTGTTTCACTTACCCTAATCCAGCCTCAAGGGACCAGAATGGGAACCGCTCTACAACTAAAACTCTTTGACTATGAAATCTTAACATGTGCATTCCTTTTTACAGCAGGGAGAAGGTTATAAGGTGAAGACAACGAAGAAGGAAATCCGGCATGTGGAAAAGAAGAGCCACTCATAACAGTAAACGGTTAGTCAAGGCGATAGGTGTGCTCCTATCAGCACTTCCTGGGAAACTTCTCATTTCCCTGGATAAGTGATTCTGACTCCCTGCCCCCTTCCTCTCTTTTTCACCCAATTCCAGTGAATACCCAGTATGAAGTTGCTGGAGTCATTTTTATGTTTGTATACGCATCCATACACACACTGAAACTCAGTTCACAGTCCATAAACTTTCTCCTCACAAATTAGTCAGGAATTTCAGTGTAAATGGTGTTTGCAGAAGCAAATGTAAATAGTGATATTTGAGTCTCCTCTAAGAGCTGCGGCTCATTGTGTACTGGGGTCACATTATACAACCTAACAGGAAAACTATCTGGCAACAAATAATTCTTACAGATGTGCTTTGAGATGTGTGTAGATCCAGCCTCTCACCATTTTAGCAGAACGGCATCTGACCGTTTAACTTCAGTTGAAATACAGTGGTTGCCAAGTTTAAATTAAGTGACTGAGGTCCCTATGTACCTTTTGGCGTATCTTATATAAACCAAAGCAGGTTAGGGGACTACTAATTCTTTAAGTTAAATGTTTGGTGAGCTTTGTGTAATTCTTTCTGAACTTTTCTTCCTAGATGAGAAGATTTTCCTTAATGTTCTTTTCTAAATTTTACATTGTCCTATTATTTTCTGCATGGCTATAATTATGTAAGGTCACTTGGGGTGAAAAAGCAGATGGAACTTTGAAAAGAAATTTGAAAAGCGCTCCCTAAGTCTGTGAGGTGAAGCCTCATGATTCCTTGAGGGCTGCGTACATTGTCTTAACCCTACTGGTCCAAATGACAAAGCGCAAATAGATTCCAGTTTTCACTTGCATAGATCTTCTGTTCCCCATTACCAGAATCCTGGTAGTGGAGTGTGGAGGTGAGGAACCAAAAAATCTAGCCTTGTTGCCCTGAATTTTATATGAGGTACCTAAGACCCAGATTAAAAAAAGGAGTTTAAGTTTTTTATTTTAATTCCAGTTAGTTAGCATATAGTGTAATATTAGTTTCAGGGGTACAATATAGTGATTCAAAAGTTCCACACTTGGTGTTCATCATGTCAAGTGTGCTCCCCCATCCCTCCACCCACTTCCTCTCTAGTAACCATCAGTTTGCTCTCTATAGTTTAAAGTCTATTTCTTGGTTTGCTCTCTCTTCCTTTTTTTTTTTTCCATTTGCTCATTTATTTTGTTTCTTAAATTCCACATATGAGTCAAATCATATGGTATCTGTCTTTCCTCTGACTTATTTTGCTTAGCATAATATGCTCTAGCTCCACCCATGTCATTGCAGATGACGAGATTTCGTTCTCCTTTATGGCTGAGTAATATTCTGTTGTGTATATATAACATCTTTTTTTTTTTTTCGCCCCCTCAGGTCTAGGATTAGGGTGAGGGTATGTGCCTTACCTCAAGCACAGATAAATTCCTAATCTCTCCCTCTCAAAAAGACTTACCATGTATTTATTCACTCCAAGATTTAGTTCACTTCCTTTCATGAGGCTTTCTGCATAGGAACTGAGAAACTCTTCATAAAGGACATTAGTATGGTACTTGTCCTCACTGAGCTTATGTTGTGGAGATTTCATGTTACCCAGTCCTAACTGATCACATCAGTATTTCCTGGCACTGAGACAACTACCAGGAACTGCAGAACATTCTGGAAATAATATTTACCACAAGTGTTCCACTCCATTATTCATTTAATTCTCACAGGCAACCCCTTTAGATAGATGCCCTTTACATCCCCATGTAAGAGGGGAGGGAATGGGGCCCAAAATTGCCCAATGCCACATGAATTAAAAGTGGCAGAAATAGGATACAAACCTGCCATCCTTGTGGACTGGAGATATTCTCAACACTCTCAACCTTGTGGACTAGAAACCTGAGCCGAATCTGAGGTGACAGGGAGGGTTTCCTGGAGAAAGTGTTGTTTGAACTCAGTTTTAAAAACTACACAGGACACGACTGAGTGAAGGAAAGAGTTAGACGGAGACTGGGGTGGCCTTCTAAGCACAGACATCAGCACTCTACAAAGGCCAGGAGGGGGGCAGGAAAGGAGGAGCTGTGAGAACAGGTCAGTGCAGCTAGCGGGGAGTTTGGCCTGCAGGAGGAAAGGTGGGAGTTTTGGGGCCTCATGAGCCTCCCTGTAGAGATTCTGGTCTGTACCCTAAAAACAGAAGGAAAGCTGTGCAGTGTCTTAGGCAGGGGTGGGGTATGATTGTACGTTCTGCATCACTCACTGTAGTGGCAAAGAATGAACCAGAGATGACAATAGTGGATGAACAGAAAACCCAATACGAAACTCTTGTAGACACTGGCTTGGGCCATGAGGATGATAAGAGGCGGGCTGAATCAGGAGACCTCAACATGACTTACATGAGAGAGGAGAAAATGACCAATAATATAGGGGCCATAGTATCTAAAATGAACCCACTTTGCATGTCTTACAGCCGATCCTGATGCAGGACACACATGTATACACAGTAGATAAGTAAAACACAAAGCATGAGTTTGCAGTCTTGAGTTTGTCTGTTAAGCAGTTGTAAGTGAAATGTGAAATGAATCTAGACGAGAGTTCAGTCAGCTTTAGCAGGTGCCTAAAAGTTCACTCAGACTCAGACTCTGGGTGGGGAAAAAAACAAGGAGGTCACCCATACCAACTGAGCCATTTTTCTAGAACACATATATACAGTATCTATGAGTAACTGATGTCGCAAAAATACAACTGTGCTATACTGCTTGATCCTTCAGAGTAAATGAATAAGATGAGACATGGTCACTAAATGTACAAGAGCCTTCAAATTACAAATAACCCACCCTGTAAAGAGGTGGTCAGAGCCTTGCCTCACTTGCTCCACTGCTCAAAGGAGAGGGAAACTCAGGTAGAAGTCATATGAATGTGAAAATAACTCCAGCCTAAAGCAAACTTAATACGTCAGATGGAAAAAACAGTGATCTGACTGTGGGCCTCAAGTTATTCTCCAGGGTGGTTATTTACCTTCCATAAGTGAACTTAGAAAAGGAGTCCAAGAATACCACCTGGAATTCCAGGACACTGAATGTGTGCTCTGGAAAAATCAATTTGCAAATATATTGAGAGTTTTTATAGCCCTGCTGACTACCTTTTTAAAATAAATAAATAACAAAACAACAAAGAAGTGGAATGCTGCCAAATTCTCAGATGGTGACAGCAAAATTTTTATTTTCCATTTTAGAACCAGTTGTATTTTGAGCTACCTGAACCCTTGTACCCACTTTTCTATAATACCGCATCACAGCCATCGGCTTACAGTAGCTATATTTGTACATAGTATAGAGTGATTTATAACTTACACAGTGCTTTTACATTTCTGTCTTATTTATTCCTTCAAAAAAGCCCCTACAGAGGTCAGTCCAACTTTGTATATGTGCTGCCTGAGTGAGCACTAAATCAGGCCAATTTTGTTTGCTACCTTTTACAGATGAATATGTCAAGGCTCAGAGAGATCAATGACATTTCTACTGTCACACAGCTTGTGATTGTTAGAACTAGGACTTGAACTCAAGATTATTGATACTCCACCTTTCTATTACTTAGCTGTATTTCTAAAATTACTTATGAATAATAATATCCATGTTCTGGCAAATGATTACTTATGCCAGGTACCAGATAAGACCATTACATACATCACTACATATAATTCCCAAAACAATGCTATAAGGTAAGTACTACTATCTCTTTCTCATTAGCAAGGAGACTAATGTTTAGAAAAATTAAATGATTTACTCAAGGTCCTAGATAGCTGATGAGCAGAAGATTGAAATTTGAGCTTATCCAGAACCTGAGTTCTTACTATTATTCACATCCATAGTTAAATAGTATTTGATGATGATGAGAGACCTAAAAGCAAATTTGAATCAAATGGATGTATGTAACAACCTGTAGTAAATGTCTTCATATTTTACACAGTGAAAATAATCAGGTTTTTGTTCTTTTTTAAAATAAAGCAGAACTTCATTTTTAAGTTAGCCATAGTCCCCAAATGTTTACTTCATAAATACCATTAGAGGGCTGACTAGTGAGGTTGTATCAAGGGAAGGCCCCAGATATAAACTGTAAAGGACTGTGAAACAGCTGTATCCCAAACTTCTTTGGGGGAAATGCTCAGGATCTCACAGCCATATGGAAGCTGAGAGTGACAACACTCAGGGGCAACACTTTTTCTGAGCCAGAAAGTTGACACATTTTTTTCATTCCTTAAAAACAATATTTGAGCTTCCACCTGGCTGAAAATGGAAAGGCTAGATGTCCTATGGTAAAAAATCTTCCATGGGCCCTGCCCTTCCTAATGTCTCAGCCAGCAAAGGGGAACAAGATGGGACCAATGTTTGAGGGCTGAATATATAAAATCAAGATCCAATAAAAGAATAATATGGAAACATATTTAGACTTCTGGGAGCTGGGGAAGGTCACTCAAAAGTCATGATGTTTAGGGGTGTCTGGCTGGCTCTGTCTATGGAGCATGTAATTCTTTTTTAATATTTTATTTATTCATGAGAGACACACAGAGAGAGGCAGAGACATAGGCAGAGGGAGAAGCAGACTCCCATAAGGAGCCTGAAGTGGGACTTAATCCTAGGACTCTGGGATCACAACCTGAGCCAAAGGCAGACACTCAACCACTGAGCCACCCAGGTGTCCCCATGGAGCATGTAACTCTTGATCTCAGGGTTGTAAATTTGAGCCCCACATTGGGTATAGAGATTACTTAAAAATAAATCTTAAGAAATAAAGAAGTTATGACATTTAAACTAGAACCTCCCAGGTGGTGCCATCCATGAAAAGAATGGGGAAGAGAAGAGGATCCAAGCAAAGCATACAATATGGGCTGGGCCCTTGAGGGGGGAAAGACCTCACATAGTCGAGGAAACAAAAGAAGAGAGGTGTCCCAGCTCCTGGTGAGATGGTGGTGGCTGGGGAAGGGCACATGATGATGTAAGTGAGGGATG